ACACCCTCTCCAGCATTTGTTATTTGTAGACCTTTTAATGATGGCCATTCTGACTGGTGTGAGGTGGGTCCTCACTGTAGTTTTGATTTGCATTTCTCTAATAATTAGCAATGTTGAGCATCTCTTCATGTGCCTATTGGCCATCCGTATTTCTTTTTTGGAGAAATGTCTATCTAGGTCTTCTGTCCATTTTTCCATTGGGTTGTTTGTTTTTTTGTTGTTGAGTTGTACGAGCTGCTTGTTTATTTTGGATATTAAGTCCTTGATTGTATCGTTTGCAAATACTTTCTCCCATTCCGTAGGTTGTCTTTTCGTTTTGTTCATGGTTTCCTTTGCTGTGCAAAAGCTTGTAAGTTTGATTAGGTCCCACTTGTTTAGATAAATACATTTTAAAATACAGATATATAAAACCTTATAAAAATTAAAGCCACTCAGTTTCAGCATCTAGAGGTAACTTTATGTTATATAAACTTCCAGACTTTTCATGCATCGGCAGCATCAGGTTTATGGCATGGTTGTGCAATAATAATTTGGTAATTTTGCTCATGTTCATTTCTAACTCCAAATATACACAAGTTACCAATTTGTCAGGTAACTGCCCTCTAATCCAGCCAGAACAAAGATTTTTGTTGTCTTTTTATTAATTTGCTTGTGTGCGCTTGTCTTCAGAGTCAGGGCCTGGGGTCAAGGAGTGGTCCGGCAAGCGCTCTGCACAGCCCGGTGTGCTGGGCTTTCATGGGTGCCTGCACCAGGCTTCAGCAAACCCTCATGAGCTTCCCTAGTCTGCACTCCACCTCTTACCCCACCTCCATTTCCACATCTGAAGATGGAGATCACGACTATCTCATCGAGTCGTTGTGAAAATTAGACAATTGACAAAGTCTTTGCAGTTTCCAGTGCATTAGACAATTATTATTATTGTTTGTATGCAAAATTTCTACATGTTAAAGAAATAAAGACAGGAAGTTATAATAGAAATATTATAGAAGGTCAATATACTGTTAATTCAGGAGGAAATCTCTGAACTGCAAGAACGCCTGTCTATTAATGGATTTCTGTTGACCTACAGTCTAGGTCTGAAAACTAGGCTAAACCCAAATTTGCTTCTGAGGAGGGAAAAAGGAGCAGGAGTGTGTTTCTATTACCAGCCTCTTGGCTCCTCGTGGAAAACTCTGCCCACCCCACAGACTGCTTCCCTAGCATGCTCCTCCAGAGCCGCACCCAGGCAAGAGGCAGGACAAGATGCTGGCCAGTACTTGCCCTGTCTTGAGGCACAGCACAAACCATTAGTAGACACGTTTCTAGTTTGCCAGGATGAGTGAATTTTCTTCTCCTTGTGGTCTGTGTTTTCTTGACACCCATGGGTTACTCACTAACCATTTCACCATGGCCTCATAACTGTTTTGCAAATAGAAAAGACACAGGAGAATTTAGAGAGGCATCAGGCTTTTTAAACATGTCCACTTTAGTTCAGGAGGCCCAGTTTCCCTGTGGGCCCTCCCTGGATGTCTGCGAGGTTACTGTCTTAGTGCCTAAGGACTAGCCATAGCCTGCTAGTCCCAGAGGTGAGGAGGAGGAGGATGGGCAGATCTCCCACCCTTTCCTGGGCTGAGAGGGTATAGCCTCCAGCCAGATGAGTTCCTTGGCAGAGACCCTTTTGGCCTGGACTAGCCCACCCTCTGAAGGCCCCTGGTAGGCTTCTCTGCCAGGCTCCCTAGGGAAGATGTGAGTTCCTGGGCTATGCCCTGGCTCACTCTGGGAGACAGACTCAGGGTAGAGTGGAGGTATCAGTCAGGTGGAGCTGGACCAAAGGGGCGGAGTCAAAGGCAAGACGCTGAGGCAAGCCATGGGCACTGAAGTAGGAGTAGGAAATGCCCCAAGGCCACGTGACGGCAGCACTCACGCTTCAGACCACTTCTAGGAGTTCAAGGACATAGATGTGATTTAAAGTGAAGCAGCGCAGATAAAAATCACCTCTCAAAATAGGGAAGAATTTGAACCCAGCCTAGCGGTTGACCACACACAAAGTTCAGCTTGAAGATAGTGCCCCATCTTTGGAAGTCATCCAGAGGAGTTTAGATACCTGTCTTGGGATGGGAGTGAGGTTGGTAAGATGTCCTCTGTGGGCCCACCGTGCTAGGCCACCTTCAGGTTAGACAGAGTGACCTACCTAGTCCTCAGTGACTTTGAACTCATCCATTCTTCTCCACACCATCCCTGGTTGCCCAAGGGCCTGGACTCTTGCCCCATAGACTCCATGGCAAACCCTGAGCTGACAGAGCAGGAGATCTGATTCACAGGTGGCACAGTTATTCTAAGATCTTACAGAGTGGTACTGGCAGAACAAAGCAGGTCTTGACCAGAAGCAAGCCTTCACTTTTACACCACACTCTTCTTCCTCCCAGAGTAAAAAGAAAATCAGCCCTGCTCTAGGATAGCGTCAGCGTCAACTAGAACTGTGCCCATTGAGGGAGCCCTGTGTCCACACCTGTGCTAGCCTGTTCCAGACCCATGGTTATACTTGCTCCCCAGCACTCCTGGGTCAGCCATGTTTGAAGGATGAGGTAACAGTAGTTCAGAGCAGTCAGGTGGTGGGGGCAGGATTTGAACCCAGGTTCTAGTGACTCCAAACCAGTGCTCTTTCCCATGCTGCCTCCCTTGGACCTTGGAAGGGCTTTAGAAAGCCAAGAGCCATCTCTGGCACCTTGTTTAATATAAAATTTACACTGTAATAATGGGATAGTGCAGTGTATCAACTCTTAAAGAAATACTTTAATCACCAGATATTTACAAAATTCACATAAACCATTCCAAGAGTTCTGTAATTGCCTTCAGATGAACATGAATTTTTTAAAAAAATTTTTTCAAAGAGAACTCACCTTTGGTGAGGTGTCTGGATGCTGGTAATGGCGTTTTTTTTCTGATGGTAATGAAATGATAGATCTTCCTTGGAGCTCATGGCTGATGGAATGAGCAGTGGGATGGTAAATGGCCTTTATCTTCCGCACACCATTCCGCCGGATGGCAGTGTCACAAAAGACCACGGATAAAATTCTAGAACTCTTTATGAAAAAGAAAAACAGAGGCTGTCTCGTTTCCTGGATCTTAACGGGCACATCTTGCTCCCCTATTCCCCTTCCACTGTCAGATTTCTAAAATAAAGTAGCAAGTTTCGCAGGCTTTGCCATACCAACCCCACATCCTTGTAGCTCAGCCCCACATCCTCAGAAAGGCTCAGAACACATTCTTTTCCGAGGTGGTCCACTTGGCTGTCTCCAGCCTGGGCTCCGTCCTCATTCACAACCTTCAAAGCAGTCTGCCTTCTGGAACTGGGGTGGTGGCGGGCTCACAGTCAGGGCGGGAAAGCCAAATCTTCACCTGAGCCTTTGCAAGCTAATGCAATAAATGGGACCATGTTTCTGCCTGTTTGTTGTTGTTACTGTCTGCCTGAATAAAATGGCCCAAAAGGATGATTTCTCTACTGGTGGGAAGAGGTGAACCCCAGCCAGGGAGTTGCTTTCTGCTTATGGGGAGCCTGCCAAGGAAAGTACCGAATGAGGAAGGGTGGGGAGCCCGGAACAGATGATGTAACAGCACTGCTGTGATGGGAAGATGAAGAGTCGCTGCCCCTGCTGGGGCTCCCGGGCAGCCAGGCCTTGTCCACACGAATGCCTGAAGCACCCTGGTGCAGTCCCCGTGGGTGGAACGTCCCCGTGGGATGCATGTGGGGGCGGGGTCTGTGGGTTCCTGAGCAGGACTGAGGCAGAGGGCATGGCTGGAGAGAGGCAGGACTTGGTTTGGTTCAGTGGAACAGCCTGAACAAGAACCTGGTTTGGGGAGTAGAAGGGGAGTCTCAGGGAGACAGGGGGGGAAAGAAAACACAGCTAGAAAAGGAGCCAAGTGACCTCAGAGGCCGAGGAACCGGGCCCTACAAATTCCTGCTGAGCGGAAGGGGCATTTCACATGGAGAAGGTTCCTTCCCACGCCCTCCCCAGCACTGCATCCTGTTACACTTTTACATTCTCCCCTACCACATGGGTCAAAAATGGTGTTTCTTTGGTTTGAATTGTGTTTCTTAATTGTATTTGTGGAAACATAAATCGGTACAGCCTCTGAAGAGGACAATTTGGCAATATGTAGCACACTTGAAAATTCTCATAGTTTTTAACCTAGTAGTACCATTGCCAGAAATGTATCTCATGGTTACACTCGCAAAGATTCAAGGCATGAAATCATCATGAGATGTAAGTCTCATAAGTCACAGAGATTTATGTCCGAAGATGATCACAGAAACATCATTTGTTAGGACAAAGCCCAGCACGGGGGAGGCTGCCACGAGTTCCCATCCATCTGTACGAGGGTGTCCTGCTGTTGTGGCCACAGGGCAATGTGGGCCGCCTCCACCGTGCCGTCAGGCCAGGGAAGCAGGGAGGAGACTCGCGCAGATAAGATGATCCCACATACCAAAAACATTTGTTTAAAAACTACTTGAGCATATAGGCTGGTATATGGCTAAAACTCTCCTGGAGATTAACTGTGGATACTTCGTGAGTGGGAGCAGTGGTTTGTAGACTATTATTTTTATATTTCATGACCTTCCATATTGTTTGCCTTTCTTAACCACACACATATATTCACATGTGACATGTATTCACATGCGTGTTGTGCACATGGGCAAAGAAGGCCAAGATGCGGCTGTGAAAGCCCAGTGTGGGGTGTGAGGCCCCCGAGCCTGCTTCTGCACGGCCCTGGGACTCCTCGGGGCCACGCCTCAGGCAGCAGCGCATTCTGCCATTGCATAAGAGCAACAGGGATGGCAAGAACCCAGCCTTCAGTAGGGCAGCGAGGGGGCAGGGAGAGCTTGGGAAATAATCTTGCTGCCCTGGGAAGTCTGTGATTCTCCTGGGTGCCCTGGTGCCACGATGCCCCAGAAAGTTCCACCTCTTCCCTCGTTCGTGCCTTGAGATATTTGGTCACCCCCATCATTTTCTGTCCCACAGGAGATACCCCGGCTCCGACAGGACCATGCTGCAGAAATGGCAGGTAAGTGACCCCTCAGAGGACTCTGGGTCCGAGGAAACCCTCTGGGAATGCAAATCAGCAAATAGCTCAGGCCCCCGAGATGAAGAGAGAAAGCATGTGGATGGATCAGGAGGGATCTTGTTTTTGTTTTTTGTTTTGTTTTCATTTTATTGCTCTTTATTTTATTCTTTATTTTTCTCGGCCACACCACGTGGCGTGTGGGATCTTAGTTCCCTGACCAGGCGTCAAACCAGCACCCCCAGCATTGGAAGGTGGAGTCTTAACCACTGGACCGCCAGGGAGGTCCCAGGATCTTGTTTTTTTAATTTGTTAAAATGTTCCATATATTTCCCTGAAAAGATCTCACTGATTAAAGGCGATTCTTGAGTCAGAGCTGGGGAGTGAGAGAGAGAGAGAGAGAGTGTGTGTGTGTGTGTGTGTGTGTACACAAACCCTGTATACACACACACACACACACACACGCTCCTTCAGTGAAGGTGTATGTGTATAAATGAACACACAGCTCAGGAAGGCACAGCATTCACTTCTTGTCCTGGGAAGTCACACATGGCTCCCAGACTGGATGAGCTGACATTCAGCCTTGGGTTCTCAGTGGAAGGAAAGGACCCCAAGAGAGCTAGCCTTACAGATCACAAAGCAACAGGAAAGTAACTCTTGGTCACTCAGGTCCAAAATCCTTTCCCAAGGATCAGGCCAAGGAAAGGAGAGACTGCAGCATGCAGGTCCCATCAGAGATGATGGCTGCACTGGCTACTCGTTCACCAGTTGGCCTTGATGAATTTTTCCAAAATGCAGTCCCTGTCTCCACCTGTGACATCTTTAAGCAGAGGGCCCTAAGAGTGAGTGTTTTCCAAACACGCACAGTCAGGGGAAAGAGAGTTCCTGAAGTCCCAGAGGAAGACAGACCATTCAGCCTGCTGGTGAGGGCCTCTTTCCCGGTGACTGCAAATTCCCCCCAGCTTATGTTTTCAATCATAAAGAGGTCAGCAGTAAGTTTACAGCATTTGTGCTATTATTTTAATCAGCTTTTGAGTATCACCCAACAGTGACACAAAAGAATGCTTTAGCCTTGGCTTGGACTGCTGAGTTGTATTTTTTTTTTTTTTTTTTTTCTGGCTGACTTTGCTTCCTGACTAAACTTGCTTCAGCTCATATTGGAATTAGCGTGGCCTCCCCAAGTTGGGCCAGTTCCAAGCACAAGGTGCACGGGGAATGGCACAGGTGCACGCTGCCTGCTCCCACCTACACGATGAGGTTTCCTGTGCAAGCCTGGGAGTTAGACCCGCATGGGCCTCAGGAGGAGGCCAACTGTGTTGGGTTTATCCCCTCTTTGACTCTTCTGCAGAAAAGGGACATGAGCAATTTCGAGTATCTCATGCACCTCAACACGCTGGCCGGGAGGACCTACAACGACTACATGCAGTATCCAGTGTTTCCCTGGGTCCTGGCTGACTATAGCTCGCAGGTACGTGTTCACGTGGATGCTCTGCATTGTCCCCTGGCTTTCTGACCCTGACGACCAGAGCACCCGAGGTCACGCGGAGCCTCTGAGACACTGTTCAGTCCACTTGGGTCTGAGGGCTGCTCTGGTCTCAGCCCCTCACCTGGGAAGAGGCCTCTGGAGTCTGGCTGCCTGGTTCCCTGTCCCAGCCCCACTTGGGGGATGACCCACATGACTAGGACAGTAGTTAACATACGCCTCCAAGGACTTCCTGGCTCACTCGCTACCGTGAAGGCAAGAGATATTCATCTGCTGAGATACTGCCATGGACCAACACTGGTCCATCAAGTGAAGAGGGCCATGAAATGTGTTCCTAGAACCAACATGTAGAGAGAGAGAGAGAGAGAGGGAGGGAGGGTGAGAGAGAAGAGGAGAGAGCAAGAGAGAGACAGAGATACACAGACCCAGCGAGAACAAACTCCTCCCCCGTAACCTGACTTCAGTAACTGAGATGATGGTGTGTGGACATCACCCCGGATCTAGACCGGGACATGTAGCCATAAGGGAGGTCAGTGGCAACACCAGATCATATGCTGTCCTGACCTCTGTCCCAGGACCTCAGCAGGCAGGGGAGGGAGGAGCAGGAAAGCTGACACGGCTGGACCGAGGTGACGTCAGTGGGGGACGAGCAGGCTATGGAGCAGTGTCCTGACCACCTAGGATCTGGACATCAGGAGGCGTGTTGGGCTGTGTATGTACAGGGCAGAAGGTGTCTGGGTCCTGGTTCAGACCAGCCTAGCCAGTCCTGCCTCGAGCTGTTTAGATGGCTGACCCCCAGAATTTGGAAATGGGACCTCAGTTTTTTGTGAGCTCCCATCCGCACGTGAGACACTTAACACAGCAAACCTTTTCTCACCAGCCACACGTTGCTTCTTATCGCACTAGTGATCGTCTGAGGCCCAGGTATTTCAAAACCGAAACTTGCCAATCCCAGCTTCAACTCACATGTTGCTAAGTTGTGGGTCGCCAGCCCCTTTTATTTAACCCATACCCTGTATTAAAATTTTGATTACTTAACAGTGTTCAAAAATTGGGAGATTTCTCCTAAAAAGCTGGTTTTCCAACATCTTTTGGCGAATCCAGAGATCTGGCAACTATGAAGCCCCATTCTGCCCTGGCAAAGTCAGCTGTAGCTGAGTGTGGGGTCTCCACAGTGCCATGACTCACGGGGGTCTCAGGAGTGCCCGCTTCACTGCCGCCCGCACCTGGCTGTGACAGGTGAGGGATGGTGGCAGACCCTGCCTCCCCAGGAGAACTGTGGTGATTCACTGCTAGTGGAAAGGAGGAAGGGTGTAAAGAAACACCTCTGTCTATAAGGACATGCAAACCCCAAGGACACCCAGCCCTGAAAACTCTTCAGGGCTCCACCGTTGTGTATTCCAAGGGTAGGGGAAGGGTCACCATTACTGCTTTCATCACCCGGAAGGGAGTGCACCTTCAGAAACACGAGGCCCTTGCTCTCATTTCCTCCCCAAACGGATGACTTCTAAATTCCTAGAAAATTAGTGTGATTCTAAGCAAGAACCCTGAACTATGGAAGCAAACTGCTCTGTGAGGGCAGGAGCCAAGTGTCCATTGACAACAGGAATTCTTTTGAAAGTCTCTTGGGTAACTGGTGGCTATGTTCTGATTTGGGTCAACTTGGAACAGTTCAGTGTGAACTCAATCTTCCCCTCCTCTCATTTTCTATCTCTCCCTTATTAAATCTTCGTGGATCACTGGTTGTGGGGCCATAAAACCCTACCAGGCCTGCTAATCACCAGAGGAGGGGGTCAGACCAAACGGCAATGAACCAATAAAGAGAACCATAAAACTAAAGAGCGTGGCTCCGGCAGTCTCGCTGGGGCACAAGAGGGTCCAGGGGAGTTAACTCCAGTTGCACATCTGCCTTTTAGACATTGAACTTGATGAATCCCAAGACTTTCCGGGATCTTTCGAAGCCCATGGGGGCTCAGACCAAGGAAAGGAAGCTGAAATTCATCCAGAGGTTTAAAGAAGTTGAGAAGACTGAAGGTGGGTAGATCCCAGCTTGATTTTTTTCTGCAGTGCTCTTCATCTGAATGCCTTGCAGTGAGAGTTTATAACGATTTGGGTGTCATCTAGCCTACAGACAATTACATTTGGATAGAGAGCCCTCGAATTCAGTGGTCTGCACCCTGGCTGCATGTGAGAATCACCTGGGGAGCTTGTTAAAAGTACTGATGTCTAGGCCTCACCTCTAAAAATTCTGATTTGAATAAGTCCACGGTGGGGTGCAGCCTGAGTGATTCCCACATGAAATCAGGACTGAGAACTATGGTGCTAAGAGTTAACACCTCCATTCCCAGAGGCAGGCAAAGGCAAGGAAGTGACATCCATTCAGCACTTCTGTATGCCAGGTGCAGGCCAGCCTGCGTTCATACACACACAATGGTCCTTTTTAAAGAGAAGGAAATTGGAACTCAGTTTAAGCAGCTCACTCAAGGTTATAGCCTCTAAATGGCAGATCCTGCATTTGTCTGGCTCTAGAACCTAGCTCCCAAATGCTGTTCGTCTGCACATCCCCTTTACAATTTTTTGCCACCTTCACATGCCAGCTGTCCTCTTAGTGCCTTACTGTTTTTCTTTAGGTCTATTCCCTTCTTAAACTTCAATGGATGTATTTTAAAGAGAAAATTTTCTATCATATATTTGATGTCCGCTGTATTGGTTTTCTCAAACACTTTGAAATAAACATAGCACTACTACAGTAAGGAACATCCAGCCACGAACCATGTAAGCTTACCTCAAGAACCAGAGGCGGCACATTTCGGAAGGCTGTCTCGGCCCCGAGGCCCTGCCTTTGGTGAGCAGGTTCTCAGCAGGCTGAGGAGCTCCTCTGCATCCCACACCACCGTGGAGGCCCCTGGCCTCTGCCCAGGATCCCCACTGTGTGCAGGGCTGGCACTCAGACTTGTTGGGGGAGATGGGAGGAGATGGGAGGGGTGGGCAGGCCCTCCTTGCCCTGCTTATCTCCTCCTGAGGCTAAAATTCAACCTGTATGACCCATCTCAGTCCCCCCCACCTGCCCCCAAGTGCTGTTCCTCTGGCTCCACCAGGCACTGCTGGAACCCTCCCAGAGAGGCAGGCCAGAGGAGCATCAGCTCTCCCCAGCTGTGTCCCAGGCAGGGCCCACTTTGGTACCATTCTCTCCCATACTAACCTGGGTGTGCACTGGAGTCACACGTTGAGTTTGAGCCCTTGCACAAGTACATCCAGCAACCTCCCAAACACCTCTGATTTAGAGAACTCGCACAGCACCGGGAGGGCTGAGGGCCGGGTGTGGCACTGCGGCGAGATGGCAGAGCCGACGTTTGGAGGAGCCCGTGCCGCCAGCCAGCTCTGCCACTCGCTGGCGATGGAAGCGAGTCTCCAACTTGCTCTGGCTTCTTCACTGGTGAAACGGGGATAATGAATAGCTCTGACTCATAGGGTGGCTGTGTGGACTCAGGGAGGGTGTGACGGAGGACACACAGCACGCACGAGGTCCACGAGTAGCAGCATGGCGATTATTCTCTGCTGGAATGGCCCGGCCAGAGCACTGTCTCTGCCTCAGCATTCCAGCTCCGTCATACCCTGGATGGAGCAAAACGGGGAAGTTTATGCCTCTGCCATCCACGCCCCTCTGGGAATGAGGATACCTGAGTTCTCACCCATCCAGGGGTGTCCCTGCATTAACAAGCCCCCCTTTCTCACACGGGGACTTTTATTCTAAAAGAGGCCAGGAGAGAGTGCTGCTGAAGGGACTGTAGGCACCTGAGGGCTCTCTCGGTGCCCTGAGTCAGAAGAGCAGAGCTCTGCCTCTCCGTGGATCCTCAGCACAGCCTCCTCATAGCCTGGCTCTGCCACCTTCCTGAGGGCAGACCCCTGGGGGCTTGGCCAGTGCAACTGAGGGTCTTGATTGTGCCTCTCACCCCCGGTGAAAATTTGGCTGTTGGCCAAATTATACTGAGTTTTGTGTGCAGAACACCTAGGCTCCAGTGCCCGCGGGAGCTCTCTTAAGCAGGGCTCATGTTGGCTGTTCTCGAGATAGCCTGCGTGCCTCCCGCCCGCCCCACGGGTGGGGACGCCACCCCAGGCATGCCCTTTCCGTTGCAGGAGACATGACCGTCCAGTGCCACTACTGCACTCATTACTCCTCGGCCATCATTGTTGCCTCCTTCCTGGTCCGGATGCCTCCCTTCACCCAGGCCTTCTGCTCTCTGCAGGTGAGCTTCCCGCTCCCCTACGCGCGCGCGCGCGCGCACGCGCACGCACAGCTACCTCCCAAAGATTAAGAGCTAGGCTTGGACGAGGCAGGGCCCCCCCCCCCCCCCCGCTAGAAATCCAGTCTTGAGCCAGCGATCCCCACTTGACCCTGTGGCTCCAGGATTCCGGGCCATCCAGCCGAGGCAAGCTGCACTTCACAGCTATACCTGCGTGTCTGCCCAACAGCCTTGCAAAAAGGCTCTAAAAACTAAGGAATGAGATATGAAGAAAAAAATACTTAACATAAATAGGTTTTAGTGGAAAAGGAGAAACAGGAAGCTTGATGACTTCCTTGAAGGTAGGTGGTCAAAGCCTAGAAAAATAAACACGAAGGAAGAATGAAAAGAATATCACTTGTGACATCAGCATGCATAAAGCTATGCTAAGTACAAGCCTGAAGGCTTAAAAGTACAAACAAAATATTTTAATACTGAAGTGAACAGCTACACTAGAGAAAGAAACTAACCAATTTGCCTACCCATGAACTAACTGACCATCATGCCGGCTTAGGGTTGCCAGATTCCACAAAGAAAAATACAGGATGCCCAGGTAGATTTGAATTTCAGATAAACAATGATTTATACTAAAAAGTTATTTGTTGTTTCTCTGAAATTCAGATTTACCTGGGCATCCTGTGTTTTGTCTGGCAGCCCAATACAAGGTGAAAGTAGGCGAGTCTGACCCTCAGTGGATGGTGGTGTCCAAGGCACATGGGGTTGCTGGGACAGAGTCCCTCCTGGGCGGCTGATAAGTTGTTTTCTCTCTTCTGCCCTGACTGTATCACTGTAACCTTGCTTCAGGGTTATTCAGGGGCACAGGTTTTGACTAGGGAGAGCCGTTGGGTAGCCCAGCTGCAGACAGCTGGCTCAGCCAACTCCAAAGCGAGCACAGCACGGGGCCCAAGTTTAGGGCCTGTCTTGATTGAGGCCTTGCAAGGTTCCTACGGAGAGGAAGGCATGACCACAGTGGGCTAACAGGCTGCTGAACTTGCAGGGACTCACTCTGACAGCCAAGCGTCACCAAAGGAAGAACATGAGTGTCCCAGGAATTGTGTGTTTTGGTCTGACTTCACCAGCAAGGTCGCTCCTTATGGTCACTCAGATGACCTTGACCCCAACACCAAAAGCCATTCTGGGTCAGCACTGAAGCCATCTCCTGAGCCCTGGGCAGGAACGGGTAGGCAAGGTCAAGGTGCTGTCTCCAGTTAGGAGCAAAATCCCTCCCGTTTTCTGATTCTTGGCGCAGTCCTCTCTCTCCTTGAAGGCGTGGATCATCTAGACATCCTATAACCCCTGTCGCTGGAAATTCACTCAAAAATAACAAGTGTGCCTCCCCGGAGCCTTTCTCAGGCAACAAGCATTTTAAGTGAGTTTGGTTTGGAGAACAAACGGCCCCTGAGCTGTGCCCCATGCCAGGAATCCCGTCCAGCTGTCCGCATCAGCCCACAAGGCGTGACAGTCCCGCTGACGGTGATGGTGATGCCTCCCGTGACGGCTTCCCATCCAGGGAGTTCTGGGATCTTGAAAAGTTTTCCCTTGCCCCTTCAGTCTCACGAATTATAGCCCCATCTCTACCTGTTACTAAGGGTCCTCTCTGTTACGAACGAGGAGGCAGACTGAAATAGAAACTGCAAACTGTGAGATTTACATCCCAGCTCCACCACTTGATAGACACAAAATGTTCTGCACGTTATCGTACTCTGGAAATGAGGGTTAATTATACACATCTCACCGGGCCGTTGAAATTAAAGGAGGAAATGTGGGTAAAGCCCCTAGCTCAGGTCTGATGCTGCGAAGGTGATCAGTCATTGTTCTTCCCTCCTTCCTCCCGCCATCAGCCAGATCTCTTCTGAGCAGGCTTGAACTGGTACAAGCTGCTCCTCTTTGGTTTAAAGTAATTCAAGACAGTCTGGACTGCCTCAAAGCATTCCAAATGGCATGAGCCAGATGAAACAGGTGTGCTGCAAACCTATTGGGTTAAGGCCACTTTGAAGCTAGTCACAATGAGTCGGAGCTTTTCTTAGCCAGGTTGGTCCAATGGTGACCAGCCCAAACTGGTTTGAGATAGTTTAAACCAGTGTGAGATGGTCAAAGGCACTTTTATCTTCTTTTATGTGTCACAAATGCAGTCATATTAGCTTGAGTTCTTTTGACTCCCTTGCTGAAGTCTGATGCGACTCCTGGTTTTTCTGGGTTCAAATCTATCAGTGGCACATTGGCTCATCCGAGTTGAAATCTCCACGGTGCTTCTGAATTGGTTTTGCCTTCCTACTTTTAGCTGCCTCTTCTAGTGGGTCACAACTGGTCCAAGCCTTTGGAACGAGCAGAAGAACCAACCATCTTCTGCTTTTCCCTTAGCATAAAAGATGAATTTTAGCCTCAGCGGAATGTGTACAACAGTTACATCTGGGGGGAATGTGCTTGCCTCCCCTTTGGGAGTCCTGGGGCCTGTGCAGACCTCCTTAGGAACATTCTGGCATCTTCCTGGAGTCAGGCTTTTCCCTCCATCCCACTCTGCCTCCTCGGAGGCAGACTCATTTCTGCTCAAGAGACCTTTGCTTCACACCCTGTGTGGCGACAAGGAAAGGAGCCTCACTACATTCTCAGCAGCCCGAGACTTCCAGCCGCCAACCCCCGCCTGGATCATGGAGTGGAGAAGAATAGGAAAGGTGGAGAGGAGCAGAAGCCAGGCAGCGAGGCCTTTCTCACTTACCTGAGAGCAGGGACGTGCGAATGGCCAGTGTTTCCAGAGCTGGTGTACCTATAAGAGCCAGCATAAGGAAGTGCGTGCTCTTCCGTTCTGTATTAAACAAACTCTGCCTCTTGGCTATTACGTGACTAATCCAGAGTGACGTGCTCACTCCACGGCTCAGCTGGGATGGCCTTGGTGTGGAGAGATGGTGCCTGTGAGTTCACCCCTTGTGGTCTGAACGCGGGTACAGCCTTCTTTGGGCTGTGGCCTGTCCACAGGGCACGGTGCAGAGGGGCGTGGACAGCCTAAGAATTGCAGTGTGACACGTTCCAGTTCCTAGGTATAAGGTTTCCTTTATCCTCTTCACGTTTAAATCTTATAAGGCTGGTCTCAGCATTGATGTCTACCTCTACTGTTGCTGTGTTTGTTTTTCTGCCTCAAATCTGTTACTACAATGATAGCCTCTTACAGTCCAGAAAGTGTGGTATACAGACAGTGTGACCTGAGCAGGTGGACATGCCGGCAGTGTGACCCGGGCACAGGTCGGTTATGTGCTCTGTTATCCCCATCCCTTGGGGTGTGAGACCACTGTCTGCCGAGCTGGGGGCTTGCCTCCCAGGATGCTGTGATTGTCAGGAATCTCGCCTACTGGGAGCCAGTGCCTATGAGCCTTCAGTCAGTTGAGCAACCGGAGGCCACACCAGGCTGGGCCCACGGCCCAGGCCCCTGTTTCCACCCTGGCAAGAGCACCAGTTGCTCTCAGGCCTGAGCTGGGACCCAGCCTAGGCGGGGCAGAGCAAGGCAGCCAGCGCCCCAGCGAGGGCACAGTTCCGCTGCTGCTGTATTGAATAAGAAACTGAAATCAAGTGCTGTGTTAAGTCACAGCCCGTGTGAAGTCAGCTGTTACCAGCAGTGGGGAAGGGTTTTCTGCGCCACTTGAGGTGAGACAGCTGGTTTTGTGTAAGACATATATGCCAACTGCAGAGAGAAGCAAGGGCCATGGGCAGCACTTGGCCCACCACAGGCCATCCACTTAGGGACTCCGTGGGTGCCAGCCCCGCGTGAAGTTGTGTCCATAATAAAGGTGTAACTGTTATTACACTGACTCAAGGGAGGGAGTGTTCGAAAAGGCACATGACAGAGTTGGCAGACCTGGCACAAAGTCCTGGCGCTAGAACTTTCTCACTGGTGGTGTTGAGTACCCGAGCCTCCGTTCCTCCTCCTTTGACCCCTGACTCAGTGGGTGATGAGAGCTAAGTGAGACTCAGCGCTGAGATCCAGCATGAGAACTATTTGCTGTTGCCGTGCGCGCCATAGGTGTGCACACTCCTCCCTTCAGCGTAGGCAGTGCCTTTTTCAAAAGGCCACATCCTACAGGAAGGAAAGCTAACGGCTGCTTGGGGTCAGCCCGCCCTCAGTGGAGAGAGAGCAAGACAGACAAGGCAGCTGAACCGGTGCATCAGCTTCCCAAATCCACGTCGGACCGGCAGCTCGCTGAGGGGGACGCCCAAGCCCGAGGAAGCCCGCACTGGCCCCTTTACTTTCTTGGTGGTGGTGTTGCCTCAAAACTGCCCTGAAGAACCTAGGGGTAAGATGGGAATAAAGACACAGACCTACTAGAGCATGGACTTGAGGATATGGGGAGGGGGAAGGGTAAGCTGGGAAAAAGTGAGAGAGTGGCATGGACATATATACACTACCAAACGTAAAATAGATAGCTAGTGGGAAGCAGCCACATAGCACAGGGAGATCAGCTTGGTGCTTTGTGACCACCTCGAGGGGTGGGATAGGGAGGGTGGGAGGGAGGGAGACGCAAGAGAGAGGGGATATGGGAACATATGTATATGTATAACTGATTCACTTTGTTATAAAGCAGAAACTAACAGACCATTGTAAAGCAATTATACTCCAATAAAGATGTTAAAAAAAAAAAAACTGCCCTGACCACCCACACGCTACTTCCCTCCTGCCCCATCCCAGGACCCTCACCCTCCTCACTTCCCCTCGTACCTCCCTTCTACTTCTAATAACTTCCACATCCTTCTTCTTCTTCTTTTGAGCCCATAGTTACCTTCCCCATGCATGCTGAGATCAGGGCCCAAGCCTAGGGTCGCTCCCGAGGTCCTGGTCTGCGAAGGGGAGGGAGGCAGCAGCTGGGCTCATTCAGTACCTCTTCCCGTGTGCCTGGCTCCAGCTGAGACATCACACACACGCACGCTCACCCACACTCTCTCACATGCGCGCACACTCACACACATTACATTGTTCACACCCACAGCAGTCATCCAAAGTTTGCAGAGGAGGGCATGGGACATTAAAGGGACTAAGAGACTTCCCGGAGTCCACGCTGCAAGTGGCGCTGAAATGCCCTCCCAAGTCCTCTTGGTTTTAAAGCTACGATGCTCTCTGCTCGCCCTGCACACTGCCTCTTTGATGGACAAGCGACAGCCGCTTAGGTCAACTGATGTACTGACAGGGTCCTGTCAGTGAATTATTTACGTGGGATACTTTTAAATTACTGGAAAGGATATGAGAAGGGGTCATCAGGCTGCTCATAAAACCAGTCGCGTTATTTAGGTGTGGTGGTGGGTTGATTTGGGTCAGTCCCACTGGAGGAAGAATAGACTTTCCAGCACATGTTATCAAAACATCTGTGTTAAGTGTCCTGGAGCACATGCAGTTGCTGGACTTCCTGTGGGTGTGGGTCAAGAACTGAATTTTTCTTCAACATAGTTTCCCTCCCCTGTTGGAGAGGGGTTTAAGAGTGTTACCACCGAAATGCCTATCCAGGGACACAGGTGCGCATAGACTCCGTGTCCTTGTGCAAAAGGAATAACACCTTAGATATAGAAACTCCTTTTAAGGTGTTACCAGTTTTAATCAATGCACCATAATCCATGAACTTTACTCTGATTTTAACTCCTGTCAATCTTCAGCAAGAGTCCTTGTTGGCCACTTCTTCCCTCATTATTTTGCTTTTAATTTTGATTCACCTCTTAGTAACATTGAGCACCTCTTAAAGGATTTTGAGGAAAGATATCTAGGATTATATTATTTATGAGCCCTTCAATATTCAGAATATCTTTCTGGTGTCTTTACATACGAGTGATGTCAGCTGGGCCTAAAATCTGAAGACTGTTACCTTTTGCTTCAGAAACCTCCAGACTTAGCTGCCTTGCCTTTTGGCTTTAATGTCACCTGGGAAAAGTCTTCTGCCAGTAAGAGGTAGCTCCTTTGTTGATAATAGTGGCCTTGCTATTACTTTTTTCGGTCTGTTTGGATACATGTAGGATTCATTATTCTTGATATTCAGGAGTATCGGCGGAATCGATTTAGGAGCAGATCTTGGCCCAGTAATTCTCTCTGGTCACTTCGTTTCCATCCAACCTCTAGACCTAGTTTTGTTGCTGCTTTATTTTGTTTCAGACTTTCCTTATGGAGATACTCTGTAAACCCTGATTGTGCTTCTCTGCCTCACTCCTTCTCTCCCTTTCTTTCTTCTATCATCTCTTCTTTTCCTCCTTCCTTCCTTTCCTGAGAATCAAGTCCTGGTGGGATTTCTCGCTGGCAGCCACCAGAGTTTGTGTCAGCGCACAGACTTACAGTACGAGTTACAAAGCAGCTCCACTTTTCCTTCCAGGGAATTTGGCATTTCTTTTGTATTGCAGAAGTGAGCAAACCCATTAATTTTGAAACAAATGTATGCAAATACATTTATTAATATAGGAAATAGGAAAATCAGTTATTGCTTCCTTTATAAATAATACAGGCTTAAGTTTTAAAGATATTACTTTTTGCTAAAATGTATTAGACAGCTGTGAAAAAAATAACGTTTTTCTTTGCGGTAATATCTTTAACCAGATTTGTAGCACTAACAATATTTCCTATGTATATATTATTTTTATTTAATACAGGTAATCTTTTTATTACCAAATCATATTGTTTCTCAGGAGATTACCATCAGCACTCATAAAAGCTGCTAAAGGAAAGCAGGACGACGAGAAGGCATCAATCTCCCGCAGACGGAAGGCGTGGGCTGCAGATTAAACATGCAAAGCTCCTAATACATTTCAATGAGCGACTTGTTAGGGGCAGATTTATTTAGAATCACTCCCCCCTCATTTTGTTTCCATTTCAATTTGAATCTGATGGTGGGCGCCATCCCCTAATTTTAACCAAGAGCAAAGCCATCTTGGAGAAAAGCCACATCTTTAAGCTGAGCAAGAACTGTGTTTGGTTGCAAACCCAGGGGTTACTGGGTTTCTTGGTGTCTCTGACCCTGTGCAGAGAATGACTCGTGGGTTTCACTGGATCCTCACATCTGACTCAGAAAATTGACCAGCCTGCCAGGATGCCCCGGTGTGGCCTCCCTCAGGTGTGTGGCAGGTTCTTCCTTCTCAGAAAGAGCTGAGTCCCCTTGGCCACACATAATAGATCATATGCCCCAGGTCCAGGATTCCCCCCCGTAACCGGCATGAGGGCAAAGCATGCCCTTTGGAGTTGCATCCATGGGTTTTGACCCCAGCTCTGCCATCCCTTTCTTTTGGAAAAATTAATAAACTTGGAGAAGCCTCAGTTTTCTGGCCCGCAAAACGGAAATACCAATTCCTTCCTGAGGCACCTTCTGTGAGGACAAAGAGAGAGTATCTCTGCGTGTGTAAAGTGCTAGCGTATTCTTTACCCTTCATCCGCTGCCGCCGATGGGAAATCTCGGGCCCCTGAAGACTGAAGGGAGCTGGTGGGGCGGAGGAGGGTGCTGGCATTCTGGGTTCTCCGCCTTTGTTCTTGGGGCCACATGTGCATTCTGCAGAGGGTGGCAGAAAGAAGGCAAGTTCCGGCTGTACAAAAAAGGCCCGGTTTCTATGGGGACAGGTGAACTACTGAATTCCAGGGAAGAGGTGTCCCTTGGGCGTCCCTAAACCTAAGCAGACAGACCCATATCCCAGTTTCAGAAACTCTTTTCTGAAGTCCCTCTGCCTATAGCGTCTTCAGTTCTCCAACGGGCACCTCTCTGCCTCCTCCCAACCCTCAAGATCACCTGAAGAATAAGGGTAGCGTCAACTGAAGAGATTTGACAATTCAGATGAGAGGAGCAGAGAATCCAAAGAAAGAATTTGCCTTAAGTCTAAACTGGTCCAATCCCAGCTGCCAAGCTCGGGACTGCATCGAGCCACCTGTGGAAATGGGCCTTGGGAACAAGGCTGGCCTTGCTGGGTGCTGCAGGCAGCACCATATGCCTCCAGTTCTCCATCCTCAGACCTGTTCTTGCTTGTCAAGGCTGCTATGTTCTGTGCCACCAGGGCCCTGGCCTGACCTGCTTTCCTCGCAAGGTCTTTGCTCAGAACATTGACGTTTTCTCTGTCACTCGGCTCGCAGATTCACCAGGGGTCGACTTCTCCAGGAAATTTTCCCACACGTAGGATGTCTGACCGACTCCTCATCCTGTAGCTGGTCCTTTGTATCCTGTCTTTATGCCTGATTCAGAGCTGACCCTCGGCAAATATGGGAGATGATCAGATGCATGACTGTGGTTTCCTGTCTCTGATCTGAACTCCAATTTTCAAACTGGGAAAACATTGCTCCCTTTATCACAGTGGATCATGCATCCTCCGTGGAAGCTCCTGTTGTAGGGTTCCAGAGAGTGGTTGAGGGAATAGATGCCTGAAGAAACCATCACACGCATGCATGGACTGACTCACGCACGTGTGTGTGTGGGTGAACGAAAGGTTCTAACGGCGAAACCCGTGCCTCGGGGACAGAGTGGACGAAGGGGGCCCACACTAGTGACGCCTGTGCACCCCGAGTTCTCACCACATGCGGCTGATCATGTCGCCCCCTTTTCTGCTTAGGGTGGAAGCTTTGATGTGGCGGATAGAATGTTCCACAGCATGAAGAAAGCATGGGAGTCAGCCTCCAGAGAGAACATGAGTGACGTCAGGGAGCTGACCCCGGAGTTCTTCTACCTGCCCGAGTTTCTGACCAACTGCAACGCCGTGGAGTTTGGTGAGTGGAGCCGGAGAGAGGCTGCAGGGGCCGGGCAGCTTGTGGGTCATGACATCAGTGTCTTTGCCGAGCAGCTAAACACACAGGCCCTCGCCAGGCCGATATGGTGGGCAGATTGCCGTGAGGCGTCCACTGGGTGGCGGCACCTGACAAGGAGGTGGGAGCTGAGGAAGGACACAGCCCCAGGGCTGCAGGACCACCAAGCCACGGGCCTACCCACGACCTCCTGCCGAGAGTCCCCAGGCCTCAGTCTGCAGTGAGGCAGCGAGCAGGGGGCAGGAGCCCTTGCTGATAGCCAGGCCTGGCCTGCCCTGCTGTGTACCTCAGGCGAGCCCCAGCCCCCCTCCGCCCCATTTTCCTCCAAGTCCCACAAATGGGTTAGCCTGGGCCCTGTAAACAGGACCCAGAGATCCTGCACCTCCCAGCACAGACTGCTAGGGTGTCCATGGGCAGTGGTATGGGCACCCTTGGTGGTTCCTTCTCTTTCCTGCGCTCCAGGCCCCACTCCAGGGTGAGCCATGCTTTTTTACCTGTTGCTTTAGAGGAGGGACAAAAATTTCAGGAAGCCCCCGTGGGCAGGTCCCCTGGTGACTACATGTACCTTGGGGGCCTCCACTATAAACATCAGGGTGGCTTGTGGAGGGGGTGTGTGGTCAGAACCCCCAGCAGGGCGTGGCCCTCCCCACCCAGAGGTGCGGGATGGACTCACCCACCCTGAGGAGGGCACTTGTGAACCAGTGCCAGCAGACACCTGGTGCCCCAGAGCTCCCCTTCCTCAGGGCCCTCCTTCTTCCTCCAAACAGCACATGCGGGCCTGCACCTTGAGCCAGACCAGGTGCGGGCCCAGGGGAGCACAAGCGAGGAGATCCAACCCCTGACTCAAGCACCCACCTCTTGTGCAGTGGTCTGCAGACTGAATACCAGTGGAGCATTCAGAACATGCCCAGGCCCAGGCCTGTCGAGTGTGAGCCTGTGGAACTTGGTGGCCTCGGCAGTGTTCAGATTCTCAGATGCTTCACGTGCGTCAGGGATGAGAACCTGACAAGTGTAAAGGGCAGTTCCCACAAGATGTGATGAGGTCCATGAAAGGAGTAAATCAGGGACGGTGGAAGCTGAGAGGAGGGGTCCCAGCCGACCTGAGGTGAGGGGGCCGCTGGTGGGAGGCACCAGCCCTCCTTGGAGGTGGAGGCTGGCTCTCTGCCGAAAGGGAGGTGCTCAGCAGCAGAAATGACCTGCACAACAGGGACCGTGTGTCCTCAGGGAAGTCAGGAAACCAAGTGGCTATTAAGCACCTACTGCATTCAGGCACTTTTTAGACACTGAGGATTTAGTGGGTGTCCTGGGGCGGATTGCCCTGAAGGTGTTTATATTCTTTGTGGGGACAGGGGTAGGAGATAGAAAGTATAGACAAAGAAATAAGCTAAATACTCTTCAATGCTGAGAAGTCCTATAAGGAAAGAAGGTAGGAAAATGGTTTGAGGTGACTTAGAGACCCTGTGTTACTGTGGTACCCAGGAAGGAGCTGCCTGAGGAGGTGACAGGTGAGCTGAGACTGAATGATGAGAAGGGCCAGGCCAGGCCAGTGCTGCAGGCCAGAGAGAGAGGACGTTTTCACCCCGGTTGCACCATGAGGGCTCTGGAGGGTTTCAGCAAGGCTATAGCTTGTGTTTACTGAGAATCATCATATGCGTGGAACTATTCTAAACATGTTCTGTGTATTTTCTCTTCTAATCCTTGTACCAGCCTGGGAGGTACTGGGTAGGAAAGTGACTCCCCAGGAGGTTAAGCAACTTGCTCGAGGTTGTGTGGCTAAGGGGGAGGAGAGAGACTCGGGCTTGAAGCCAGGCTCCTCTTCTTGGTGTCTGGGGAAGGTCCCTCCGAAAACCTCCTATCTTAACTTTAAAGTGGAGAGAAAATGCATAAATTATAGAGTTGAATGAAGAGTCAATAAGACAATGCATGCCAAGCACCTAGCATAGTGCCCTAGCATAGCGGTAGGTGCTCAAAATACGATAGCTTTCATTGTTGCTGCTAGTGCCTCCTTATTTAGCACTGTATAAAAAGCACCCGGATGAAAAGGCCTGGCGCAGAGGGGAGGAAGACGCACAGACGATGATGACACAATTATCATTTTATGCACGGGCACTACCTGGAAGCAAGTAGGGTCTTACGGAAGCCTGAAGGGGCGAAAGGCTTAGAACCCCAGTAGGAATATTCCAGGCAGAAAGGGTGGGGTCACTCCCCACAGAGGAGGCAGGAAGCAGTGTGGTCTATGCAAGAATCGTAGTACTAGACAGCTCAGTGTTTACACCCCTTGGTTCCCAGCCCAGTTTGGGCTCCCATTTATCCAAAGCCTTGCTCTTTCTCACCCCATTCAGGCTGCATGCAGGACGGGACAGCACTGGGGGACGTGCAACTCCCTCCCTGGGCTGATGGGGACCCACGGAAATTCATCAGCCTGCATAGACAAGTGAGTTGAGTGGGGTCATGGCAGAGTCCCTGGTATCCTGAATGAGGACCTCAGGGTGCCCTCAGTGTTCATTGAGACTTTCTGCCCGAGTGGATGGCTGTGATAAGCACTTCTGAGGCTCTTATGTCTGGAGGGCCCAGAGAAGCAGCTGGGTCCCGTGCCCCAGATTGGCAGAAGAAGGCTTGGGTTCTGGGCTCTTTTAAGAGCTCCATTAGGCTTTGCCCTTGTGCCAATTTGTTGTGGGACTCATGGGGGAAGCAAATTCAGATTCTTGTTGGATGGAGGGCAAGTCAGTGCCCTTAGCCAACTCTACACACAGGGCCATGTTGCCCAGTATAGGTCAGGGGGCTGGAGGCTCCAAGGGGCTCCCACTGGCCAAAAGATTTGCCAGGACTGGGGAGGACTTGACTTATTATGCAGAAAGGCTGATGTGGGTAGAGGCCAGAGGCCATTTGGGGTCACGTATCCTGGATCAAATACCTGAGTTAGCATAAACACATGACAGTCTGTTCAACATCAACATCATTAGTCATCAGGGAAACATACACTAAAACCACGAGATGCTACTACACATTCACAAGAATGGCTAAAATTTAAAGTACTGCCAAAACCATGAGTTAAGCAAGGATGTGGAGCAAGCAGAATTCATCATGCGTAGCTGGTGGGGAAAAAATGGTATAGCCACTTTGGAAAAGAGCTTGGTCATTTCTTATGAAGTTGAAGATGCTTTTGCCGTATTGCCCAGCAATTCCACTTGTAGGTGTTCACCCAAGAGAAACGGAAACTTGTCCACAGAAAGATGTGTACATAAATATTCATCAGTTGTACTTATACTAGTCAAAAAGAAAAGACAACCCAAACGTCTGTCACTGGTAAATGGCTAAACAAGTGATACATCCATACAATGGAATATTACTTAGCAACAAAAAGGAACAGATTATGGGTACATGAATCAACAGGATGAATCTCGAAAGCATTGTCCTGAGCAAAAGTAGCCCCAACCCAAAGCTCCATATACTGTGGGATTCTATTTTTGTGACTTGTTTGAAAAGGTAAACTGTGGAAGCGGAAAGCAGGTCAGGGGTTAGTCTGGAGTAGGAGATGAGCAAAAAGGAGTAGAAGAGAACTTTTTGAGTTGATGTAAATATTCTATATCTTGATTATGGTGTTGGTTACATGACCACATGCATTTTTTTAGGACACATTAAACTGTACATTTAGGGCAAATTTTATTGGCAGCAGGCCTGACTAGTAATAGCAAAGCTGTGTCTTTTCCTCTGTCCTTCTCCCTTGGTGAGGAGAAAGTTCTTCCCTGGTTTATCCTTGCCTCTGGGAGTTCGGTAATGGCAGTCGTCACACCTCCTGCGGCATTACCCACGTGTGGCCTTCTCAAAACCACTTTGGCCATGTGCCTCAGAAAATTAACCTGGCCCAGGTGACCTGATTTTCCCAAGCCCAAGTGTAAGTGTGCATGTCCTCCCAGAGGATCGATAAGGGGAGCCCAGACAATTCCAAATGAGCATCTTTGGGTTCTGGGGACCAAGCTTTGGAGCTGGGCTCTACTCAGCAGAAACGGGTGCCATCTCCCAGGTGAACTCTGGGACATCAAAACACTGGCCCACATTTCTTCTTTTTTTTGCGGTACGCGGGCCTCTCACTGCTGTGGCCTCTCCCGTTGCGGAGCACAGGCTCCGGACGCGCAGGCTCAGCGGCCATGGCTCACGGGCCCAGCCGCTCCGCGGCATGTGGGATCTTCCCGGACCGGGGCACGAACCCGTGTCCCCTGCATCGGCAGGCGGACTCTCAACCACTGCGCCACCAGGGAGGCCCCCACATTTCTTCTTGCTCAAGGTTACTTTATGGACTGGATAGGCTAGTCAGACCTGTTGTGCCACACTAGCTGGAGGCAGGAATTAGGTGGTCCTCAGATGGACTGCGTGTCTGCTGCTTGGTGCTCATGCAACCCAGGGAGGCATCACTCATCTTTCCTGTGCTGACCTGGCGTCCTGAACCACATGACCCGTCCTGATCTGGGCAGAGGGCCCATGAGTCCATGAGACACCTGTGTTTTTCATGCTCTTTGGGTTTTGGTTCCAGGCTTTGGAAAGTGACTTTGTCAGTGCCAACCTGCACCACTGGATAGACCTCATCTTTGGGTACAAGCAGCAAGGGTCAGCCGCAGTGGAGGCTGTTAATATCTTCCACCCCTACTTCTACGGTGACAAAATGGACCTCAGCAGCATCAGTGACCCCCTGATCAGAAGCACCATCCTGGGGTTCGTCAGCAACTTTGGACAAGTGCCCAAACAGGTACAGCATGCCGTGGCCTTCGTCTTGCTTTCTCAAAAGAATGTGTGCAGGGTGAGCTTGGATGGGAGGGAGAGTGAGGAGTAAGCAAGGACTGGAGAGGCAAAACGGTCCTCAGTCATCTCCCTACGCCTTTGATGTCACGGCTTAACCCTCCATTACCATCTGATGTCGATGGAGGTGATGATATCGTTAATAATGATGAAGGCGACATCCATCTGTGACCCATGTAACAGACTCTATGATAAATACACAGGATATAATTCTTTATATGTGTAGCTACCCTGTAGAGTTGTTGTGAAGATCCAAAGAGTTAAGATACCAAGTGCTTGAAAGTGCCTGAAATATGATAAGCCTTCAACAAATGTTAGTTATCCGTGTGATTACCTCACTGAATCCTCTCGTAAGCTCTGGGTATGGGGGTTATACAGATCAGGAAACTGAGGCTCGGAGAGGCTAAATAAATAACTTGCCTACAGCTGCACCGTTAGCAGGTGGCAGCGGGGAGATCTCACCCCATCTGTCTGGCTCCAAAGCCTGTGCCATATTGGCCCCGTTGTGAGAGCATCCAAATTCTGCCCCAGGGCCCCTGGTGAAATGGTAGGGGTCTTACATGGGCCTTTCGCTCCATCACCTCCATCCGCATCAGGATGGTCCCGTAGTGATGTGAGGCTGCGCCTTTACAATGACATCCTGATGCTTATTTAACTGATCTCAGCCCTCTTCAACTTCAAACTCCCATTTGGTGTAGTGATGTTTTATCCCTGAGCACAGCCATCTGGGTTCAGAAGCACAGCCCCATGGACTGTGGGGTCCCAGCCTGGGCAGTCAGGAACCACACTAGGAAATGAGTGCGTAGACCCAGTCAACTCCAGAACCATCCTGGGCATCAGCTTTCCCCACATGGAACCATGGGGCTTGGACGGGCTCATCTAATAACATCTCTTCTGTCTGGCCTTATTGTGACATGCCCAGGTTTGCGCAGCTCCTAGGTAAGGGAAACGTGGAAGGGCCTGAGGGTGACTTGGAGAACAGACCGCATATCCAAATGCGGGTTTGGCCAAGGAAGGCTTTGTAGAAAGGAGAGAATTTCAGGAATGAAGGTTGGGTAGCCAAATGGTTTCATTTTTTTAATCTTAAAAATATTATAATACAGATAAAACAAGTAATTCAAAGTAGCAGTCCACAAGCATGGATCATGGAAATCACACAATTTAAATTCTGGTTTTGCTTAATGAGATATTATATGAGCTTGTCAAAAATATTTCTAAAAAATCATCAGAATTAGAATTAGAATTCCACAAGTGGTCCCAGACTGAAGACAAGATTAAAATGCTTCAGGACCACGCACTGTTCTATCAAGGGGCTGTGCCTGCAAAAACTATTACAGGGACCCAGCCTGTGGTGCTTTCGTGATTCTGCTGTGAAAGGAGAACATTCTTTAATGCTCATTTAAAAATCATCGTTCTGATTTCTGTTTGTATTGATCACCCACCCAGCTTTTCTAGACAGTCTAGCATCTGATCGAGGGTTACAGCTGAACCAAGGCTGCTCCGAGACCCCCGGGCTGCCTGCTGAGCCCCACCTCTGCCTGTGCACCCGGCCGAGGCCAGCCCCCCGCATATCATGGCGCCCCATGGATGTTTCCATCTGCGAGCAGAGGACTGTGCTGATGGCTGGAGAAAGCAGCCCGGCACAAGCCCAGTCTGGGAGGGGAGGGCGGGGAGCTGGAGCTGGCCTCAGCTGCACTCGCTGGCCCAGCAGCACTTCATGCTTTGTCGAGTTTGGCATTAGGGACAATTTGACAGCAGAGATCTAAGAAAAATGAAAACAAGAAAGGCTGCTAATGGGGTTTGCCTGTGCTCTTTGGAATAGTTGAGAGGATGCTATTAAAGAATTCTGTGTTGATGCCCAGATGGATGGGCCTGCAGAGAGTTTGTAAGGAAAAGGGGAAAATATGAGAAAAAGCTCAAGCAAATGAAGAGAGACGTGATCTACGGAGGAAAGGGGATCATTCTGACCCTATGACATGAGAGGCAGCTCTCCCGGGGATCAGGGGCTCCAACTTGGAGAAGAAGACAGATTTGGCAACCAGGAGGGCTCTCTGCCAGCCCTGCGTCCTGACCTTGAGAAAGTAGAGCCCCAGGCCCCTCACCGGCAACATCCGAAGGTCGAACCAGATGGTTCTGTTTCAGCTCACCTCAGCCCAGGCAGCTCCCAGGGCAGAGGAGCAGCTGCGACTTGCCCGAGGACGACTCCCCTTCTGTCCATCTGTCCTAATGACCCGTGCGGTGCGTGTCTGTCTCCTTGCCTCTGCAGCTCTTTACTAAACCCCACCCGGCCAGGACCACTGCAGGGAAGGCTTCCCCTGGAAAGGACGCCTCCACACCTGTGAGCGTGCCCGGTCACCCACAGCCCTTTCTCTACAGCCTGCCGTCGCTGAGACCCTCCCAGGTCACAGTCAAAGGTGAATACCTGGCCCTGCTTCGTTTGGTGCCCTGTCCCACAGCTGTCCCTTCAGTGACCGGTGTTCCTCTGGAGGTTCAGAGGCACAGGCCCAGGCAGGGGCTTGGGGGCTGATTCTGCATGGCTGTGTCTCCAGGCGTAATGGGAATCTGGGGAGACCTCTGCTCTGGAAGTGTCTGGGACCGCCTCTGTTACACCCTGACTTCTGAAGACCCACCAGTCTGTCTGTCTGTCTCTCTGAGACATGCACCCCCCTCTCTTTCACGTACAGACACATATATGAACACACACATGCAAACACACACACACACGCACGTGCGTGCACACACACACACCCCTCCTCACCTCCAGAGCCAAGTGGGAGGTCCCAGCTTTCCCAAGGGAGGGTTACAGCCCCCACTCTCGGCACCCCCATTCACTGTTGCTCCTGAGCATCCAGGTGGACCTGCAGCCACTAGCCAGGAGCATGTGCCCTGGGGCAGCTGGCCCGGCTATGAGTCCCAGCCCTGCTTCCTAGAGGAGCTGAGTGTGTGTGAAGTCTCATGTCTGTGCCACCCTGGGGCCTGCACTGCTTTGGGGATGTCTCACCACCTGGAATAATTTTCTGGTCCCAAGGAGTATAAGGTCAGGTTTTGGGGGGTTTTTCTTTTGAAATCCAAGAACAGTGTCCTTGGCATCTCCATACAAATACTGCGCACTAACCGATTGCATGACTGGACCTCCACCTCCAGACCTGCTAGAGTTGGTGCGTGGAAGGGTCAGGAAGAGCAGAGCCCCCAGGCTCCTCTGGCTGTGTGCTGTCTTCCCCAGAAGCCTGGGCTCCTCCTCCCTTGGCATCAGCCAGAAAGAGACACTCAAGACCTGCATGGCCACATGCATCTTGTATGTGCTAAGTCTGGGGAGGGACCCGGGGCCAGTGTGTAACGTGGCCCCCGGAGGGAGGCCCAGGAGGGAGGTACCTTGATGAGGAGCGGCTCGCGCCTGGGCAGGCACTTTGCCAAGTCGGGGTTGGCTGCGCATGGCTCCTCTCTGGGCCCAGCTAAAGCGGGTGTTGCCCTTTGACAAGTCGGCTCCGCCGTACTGACTGGGGGGCAGATATGTACCTTTTCTCTCTAGGCTCGGAATCCCCCAAAGGAGCCATCGGCCACATTGTTCCTACGGAGAAGACCATCCTGGCCGTGGAGACGAACAAGATGCTGCTGCCTCCTCACTGGAGCAGGACCTTCAGCTGGGGCTTTGACGACTTCAGCTGCTGCCTGGGCAGCTACGGCTCTGACAAGGTGAGTGGTGCCAGGGCGCAGGGCAGCCCCAGGGCCGCAGCCTCCTTCCGGTTGGGGCAGAGGTGGTAAGGAGACGGGCGAGCCCCAAGCAGCCACAGTCACCCACACCCCTTCCTCCACGTGGCTGTGCCCCCAGCCTGGGACTGTCACCCAGTGTGGGCAGAAAGTCCTGGGGGCTCCTCCGGCCCAGGTCACAGCTTAAACTCAGAAGGGACATACTGAGTATTCGGCTGCCGCCAGAAGCGAGCCACCCAGTTGCTCGTCCTCTACCCCTGCTTTAGGCCATCCACTTATGTCTACCTTCTTGATGTGGCCCTGGCTACCTCTGGCCTCCTTTGCTACCCTCGCTCCTCTCCCACCCTATCACGTGGCATGAATTCCCTACCCACCAAGCTTCCTCGCCCCTCCCTAGCCTTCCCCCACCTCCTTCACGAGGCAGCCTGTGAAACTGGTCCGAGATGTCACCCCTTCCTGAAAGCTGACTCCGACTTTCCCAGGCTCACGGGGCGTTTTTGCTGTGTCCCCATAGCCTCCTGCTCCCTTGCCTCTCCCCACCTGCTCCTTGTGTGGCGTGAGCTCTTTGGGGACAGACCTGGACGGCCTGGATTTCGTCACCAGGGCTTGTCACGTCCCTCGGCTCCCACAGCACGCAGGCAGGCAGGCTAGCGGCACCATCCAGCCCTGCCTGCACCCCTCCGTCGCCCTGTCCCAGCTCCCTGCCCTGTGCCGGCTCTGGCACCAGTGCTCATCCCACTCGTCTAATCTCCCGCAGATCCTGATGACGTTCGAGAACTTGGCCGCCTGGGGCCGCTGTCTGTGTGCCGTGTGCCCGTCCCCCACGACCATCGTCACTTCTGGGACCAGCGCCGTGGTGTGTGTGTGGGAACTCAGCATGGCCAAAGGTCGCACCACAGGCCTGCACCTCAAGCAGGTACAGTGCCTCTGCAGGTGGGGCGCCTTGGGCAGGTGTGGTGGCTCAGGGCAGGTGTAGTACCTTGGGCAGGTAGGGTGCCTCAGGCAGGTACTGTGCCCTAGCGTGCTCCAGCTCCCGAGCACTGAGAGCCCTGTCGCCCTTGGGAGCAGAGAGCACAGTGAGACACTGAGGGCAGCACATGGCTCTGTGTCATTCAGGGGCACGGTTTCATGCCCTTGGATGGATTTAACAAGCTCACAGGACCGGTGCCTCCCTGGAGACCCACACCTCGGTGAGAGATGCTGCTTACACGTGAGGGCCAGTGAAACTGGGGTTGTTGTGGGTTTTTTTGCACTAAGGGTCATGTTTGAACATTTGTCATGGGCACCTTTATGTGAATGGCCTCATTTTACCTCCTCAACAACCCTGTGTCCCCATAGCCTGTGGGATAATATAGGAATCATTATCATCCCTACTTCACTGGTGGAAAACCAGGTGCAAGGAAGTTAAGTGACATGTCCAAGATCATAGAGCCAGAAAATGAAAGACTATCTCAGAACAGGGGTGGTTGTGGCGGAAGCAGAGGGAAGAGACCTGGAGGCAGACAAGTCGTCTGGTCTTACCTCGCAAACCACGGCTGCTCAGAATAATAAACGGAGAGTGGAACCGACTGCTTACTTAACTCTGCACATTAACCATAATCTTGGAAAGCAGGTATTGTTAGTCCCACTTTTAGATAAGGAAACTGAGGCTCAGAAAGGTCAGGGTTGCCTTTTAATCTAGGTGTGTCTAACTCTAAGTCTAGTGCTTTCCCCTGTGTATGCTTGAACTTGCTGGAGAATATCGCTAGGGGACATTTCCACCTCCAAAATGCAATTCACGTTTACATCTGTGTTTTAGTGAACCGTATAGCCCCAAAGTAACAAAAAAACGTTAACCATACAAGGCTCACCACTGACCAGATTTCCTAAACTCAACATGTTTCACTGGAACTGATTCTGGGTTTCTCTGGATGCTTTTCTAGTCACTCAAGTCTCCCCAGAGCCTGCCCTTGTCCCCCGGCACCACCCGCAGCACTCGCGTGGTGCACAGCGACAGGCACTCAGTAAATGTGAGGTGAAGGAATGAATGTGTCAGTGCTGAGGGAGCTGGTTAATCCTGCAGAGGTGGTGGCATCTGCTGAGAGGCAGCTGTGTAGGTCAAGTGCAGGCTGCCTTCACCCAGACTCTCACGGGAAGTCCTCCCAAGCCAGCCTTGGAGCCCCCTGTCTTTTCACATCTTCACCTTCCTGACCTATGTGAAGAGACTGTGCACTACCATTACGGGTGTGGAGCATCCCCCTCTCCCAGGCATCACTCCGGGGACAGCAGGAGATCCAGCCCAACCCCAAAGCCACCTTGGGGAGCCGGGGAAGTGACCCACCCCCCATCGCCGCTCCAAGGTCCTGTTTAGTGGCGAAGATGCAGCGTAAAAACCCCGGTACTGACAGCATAAAGCGTAATTTATCATCCTCTCCTAGTTATAAATCAAGAGAAAAAGGGTATCCCACAAGCTCTTGTTTCCTAAGCAAAATAAAACACTTTATCATTTACCTACAGAGGCTGACCTGGCCTTGGGGATCCCCCAGATGGGAAGCTGCTCAGAGAGGGAGGTCTGTCCCTGACTTGTAGGCAGAGAAGTCATCATTAAATAGCTTCATTAACAGTTTAAGTGTTTCATTTCTAAAAATATTACAACATTTAAGACAAATTTCAAAGTTAAACAATTTTCTATAATCCCTATAAAAGTTCTCATTGTTGCATACTGCCACCCCCAGATATACATATTTATACCATTCTGATCATTGTGTAGATATGTTGATTCTATTTTCACCCAGTGTATCAAATTGTTCCCGCCTTTCTACAGTCTCTGTAATTTACATTTCAATTGTTCCATATTATTCCATCTCCATAAAATTATATTTCAATTGTTTTATGTCAAGGCACCACAGTTTAATAAACCATTTCTTCTAAAACTAGACAGTTACATAGCTTCCAATTTTAACTATTTTAAATAGTGCTTCAGAAAACATCTTATATAGATTGCTGTTTGCTTCTGATTAATGGTTTCCTTATAGTAGATTTCAAGAAGTAGAATTTCAGCGCGGTGACATAATGCTTTCTATAATGGTTCTGTAGCTTTACAGTGCCACCACAATCAATTAGGAATACCCACCTCACCACAACATATCCAGCGTGGGGAATTATTTTCAGAGGGTTTTATTTTACTTTATTTTATTTATTTTTTGCTACTTGAGTTAGGTATAAGGTGATATAGTGGAGTTATTTTAATTGGCCATGGAGAAAGGTATTATTCTGAGAAAACAGAAGAGACAATGGAGAACATTTAAAATTGCTGTCCTCCATCATTTTTTCCCAGGCCTTTCCAGATGGGGAGTGGTGCTGGCTGCCTCCAGGTGCTCTAGTTTCCTGGCTGGTGGGAGGCAACAGCCTTACGTAGGTGGACGGTGCCTGTGCGTGCAGTGGTCCCTCACTCTCCAGCGCCTCCCCTGCAGAAAGCCGGCAGCCCTGGCTCCAGTAACGGACAGCTCACACAGGCTCTGGGCTCACAGCCTCTGTCTCTGAATCCGCAGCACATACACCTGGGTCCCCTGGCGTGCACTCTCTGGAGTGGTCCTATCCCCTGCAGTCAGAACTTAGCCATCAGACATAGTTCGTTCTGGGAGGACCACCAGGAAGCTCCTGTCAAACCCTCTGCTTTCCTCTATTCATTTAGACAGTTTCCACTTCCCTAATATGAACCCAGCCTTCTTCCGTGGGTCACATCCAGAACCTTGCCAGCACCATCTGGTTGATGCCGTGTTAGGATCCATGGAGCACAAATGGGAATCTGTGGCAGAACTTTTAATTGCTATGACCAGGCAAAGTGACAGCTTTGAAAAATGACGCTCAGCCTCATTGACCCAAATGAGTGAGTGGTGGACGGTCCTGGGGGTGGAGATTCACCGCTAGGTGAGGCAGGGTAGTCACGTTTTAGAACACCACCTCCGCACTTCTCAGGCTAATTCCAGAGGACAGCAGGCATGTGTGCTCATGACAGCTCTCAGACCAGGCTTAGCTGGCAGCCTCTGGGACAGCTGTGATGGAAACTGTGCCGCTGCCAGCAGCAGTGGGCCAGGGGGTACCAGTGTGCCTGGCAGGCCTCCCCAGTGCCTCAGGAACGTGTCCCCAGGGAGCAAGGCCTCTGGCCAGGTCTGGACACGTAACCATCCATAAGCCAAGCCAGACCCTGCACAGGCCAACCTGAGGGCCAAGACTGAGGCCCTGAGTCACCGGCTGCTAGGAAGCGGATCCTTTGGACTTGAAAAGTCACACCTTTTAAACTATGACCTGACCTCCCTGCCTTCTTCCCAGTTTAGTTTCCAGGGGCACATGTGTTTCTGAGATTCCCTTAGTGTGATGCTCAAACTTGAGCATGCCTGAAAAATCCCTGGACGGCTTGTGAAAACCCAGGTTTCGGGGCCCCACTCCCAGAGTTTCTGATTCAGTAGATCTGGGTGGGGCCAAGAATTCACATTTCTGACAAGTTCCCAGATGATGCTTGTGCTGCTGGCTGGGACCCCACACATTACAAGTCAGTGCCCTTTGCATATTAATAGCGGTGTGTGTTGCTTCTGGATGCAAGACAGTATAGGAGAGCACAGAGCATGAGGATGCTACTGGTGTCTCTGTTTGGGTTATGATAAAAGGACTCTCCCCAGCTGAGTCTCAACCCTGGAAAGTGATGGTACTGAGAAGCCAGCCATTGACCCATGAATACACACACACACACACACACACACACACACACACACCCCACAGACTTTGGAATCACTGAGTCACTCTGAGTCTCTGTTTCCTCATCTGGGGCCCAACAGTAAAAGGGAGAGTGGAACATCTCCCCAAGTAGCTGGGTTAAGGGTCCCTCGCATAACCTGTGGCTCCATCCCCTGTCCCTAGGCCTTGTATGGACACACACAGGCTGTCACATGCCTGGCAGCATCGGTAACCTTCAGCCTCCTGGTGAGTGGCTCCCAAGACTGCTCATGTATCCTGTGGGACCTGGACCACCTCAGCCGTGTAGCCTGCCTGCCCACCCACAGGGAGAGCATATCTGCCGTTGCCATCAGCGATGTGTCGGTGAGGCCCCTCTTTCTCAAATGTCTGTGTCCTCAACATGTCCATGCTTCTGCACGGTGGCATGGTGGACAGTGCCCCGAGAGGAAACCTACGGGCAAAGACCACCCCAGAGTATTGAGAGACCCCAGATGTGTGGAGCATTCTCTACACAGGCAGAGTAGAGCCATCAACAAGTCTCAATTTGGGTCTTGATTTTAATTTTTTGCTTCTTTATTTTTTTCCCTCAAGGGCTGGGGTAGTGGGAGGTGTCTGTTCTAACACAGGCGTCAGGGAGTTGGGGCAGGAAGTTGGCTTTGGTGAGAGATCTTCTGGGTTGCCTGACTAATTCAGCTAGCTGACTGCAAATCTGTGTTGACTCGGCAGGTGCCTCTGGTCTCCAAGGCAGGAAGTGCCTCTGCTTGTCCCTCCATGCTGGCTACCAAAGATAAGCCTGCCAGGAACATGTGTGTGTGTGTGTGTGTGTGTGTGTGTGTGTGTGTGTGTGTGTGTGTGAGACAAATATATATATATATATATATATATATATATCAGTGTATACATATATCAGTTTTATATATCAGTGTATACATATATCAGTGATATATACATATATCAGTGTATACATATATCAGTGATATATATATATATCAGTGTATACATATATCAGTGATATATATATATCTATCTCAGTGTGGAGCTTCTTCTACACTGGAATCCCCATCATAGGGTATGGGGTTTTCTGAGGATCCAGAGACTCTGCATCTGCTAATAGAAAAACCTAGGGGCCTGGAGCCTGGACAGACTGAGCAGGGGTACCACAGGAGGAGGAAGAGATGATGAAGGAGCCTCCTGGTGCTAACTTTGGCTGAAAGTGGTGATCCAGATAGGCTTGAATTCAGGATGAATGTTAGCTGGGCATATGGATGATGGTGGATGGATGATGGATGGATGGATAGATGGTGGGTGAACGGATGAATGGGTGCATATACTGGGGAAACCACCAAGCCCTGGTCTGGGAGAAAATAAATTCATAAGGAATTATGTCCCCAGACCTCAGAGAAGACTGATATCAGGACAACAACTTGTTTAACTCAACTTGTCCTGGAGCTGGTTGAGTTCACTGAGTGCCTGCTGGGCCCCGCCCTGGGTGCTTGGCAGAGATGTATCAGACATGGTCCCCGGCCTCAGGCAGACTCCACCAAACAATTCAGGAAAGGACATGATGGAGCCCAGCCCAGAGGGCTGCAGAGGGGCATGGAGCTCCCTACATCCCTTCTGTGGTCAGGGCAGGGTTCAAAGGCATGGCCCCAGATGGCTCTTGGGGTCCTTGGTGGGTCCTTGGTGACAGTGACCGCTACTCTATTGGGCACAAAATAGACAAGGACTTGAGAAGAAAACACTCTGGACATAAACATTTTGGAAGATGCAATGGGCAGATTTCTCCTCAGGAATTCCCCCTGGGGCGGGTGGGGGGAAGTTTGCCCCATTTTATGAGCCACATGCAGTCATTCAAACCTCTGTGCCCTGCCCTCCACCAGGTGTCATCCAAAGCTGCCTCATGGGGACAGGGCTGGCCAGCCAGGTGTAGACCCCGTGTCCAGGCCAGGGGTGGCGTCCGGGATGGGTCCTCGGTGCCAGTCAGTACGCTGCCAGGGAGAGGGGCTGTGGGAGGAGCCCAAAGGGTGATCCGGCCGGTCTGTGCTGGGGAAAGCAGTATCCAAACACTTGATTGCAGTATGAAGAGAACCAGAAATGTACACTTGTGCCAAAACACAGCAGACCTATGAGTCTGCTGGGAAGAAGTGGGTGTCTTAGGAGGTCTGGGAGTACCTTGGTTAGTCCTCAGAAGATGACAGGTTGAGGGTGCTTATGTGTACAAACTGAGTGGCTGGGCAGATGGGGAGGCAGTGACTCCTGCCTGAAGTGAAGCCCACTCTCACTGCTGCAGGGCACCATCGTCTCCTGTGCGGGAGCCCACTTGTCCCTGTGGAGTGTCAACGGACAACCCTTGGCCAGCATTACCACGGCCTGGGGCCCAGGAGGAGTCATAACCTGCTGCTGCGTGATGGAGGGGCCAGCATGGGACACGAGCCATGTCATCATCACAGGGAGTCAGGATGGCATGGTCCGGGTAGGTGTGTTGGGCAGAATGAGGGCATGGTACAAGAAATGTGTTCATCTCCATTCTACCCACTTCCTCTAAGGGTCAGATCTGCAGGCTGCATTTAAGACCATCCCAGACCACGTCCCCACACAGCAAGTGAGGGCAAAGGCAAGGCTCTTTCCAGGCAAAAAGTAAATACATAAAATTATATAAAATTTTATACATACATATACTCATACAATGAAATAAATACTTACTGTCACAAGATATAAAAGCTGAATGGTCAAATGCATAAGAACATAGGCCATTACTGAAAAGAGACATTTGGGCCATCCATTCATCCAACCATCTATCCACTAATCCACCCACCCATCCAACTATTTATCTCTCTACCTACTCATCCATCCATTCACTATTCCATTCATTCATCCATCCTTTCATTCTTCCATCCATCCTTCCACCTACCCATCTACCCACTCACATGCCCCTCCAACTATCCATCCATCTATCCACCTAACATTCATTGAACTCTGGCTCTGTACCAAGTTCCTACAAGCCATAGGGGACACAGAGATTAATAATAAACAGGGCCTTGTCCTCAAGATGCTCACATTCTAGAAGAGAAGACAAACAGAAAACACGTGAATGTGGTTCATGCTATGACTGGGATAATCAAAGAGTGCCATGGATCCTCTGAGGAGGGCCATGGACAGAGAGATCATCAAGAAACCAAGAAGACAACGAAGGAGAAACACTGAGGTGGGAGGTGTAGCAGGGAGAACAAAATACAGGTAATTTTTCCGAGACTGACAGGGAGGAGGAAGGAATGAATAAGATAAGGAGTAATTAAGAGCCCTACTCAAGAAACTGGCACTTGAAATCCACAGTTTGTGAGAGGAAATGTCAATTGAATGCCACTAGGTATTCAAGAAAATGCCCTTTGAATCCTCCACGCATTTGTGAAAGCTCACTGTGTGCCAGCATGGCTAAAACGCAGCCCTGTCCTCCCAGAGCCTCCACGCCCAAAGTCTCAGAATAATCATGGAGGTGATGCTTCAGGAAGCAGAATGAGTAGCGTGGTGGGGGTCCAAGGGGAGCATGGATTTCTTTCCAGCAGAGAGAGTTGGCATTTCAGCGGAGCCCTGAGGATGAGGAGAGGTCGGGGCATATGGAGAAGGCCATGCAGGCTGGTGCACCAGCGTGCATGCACAGGAGAGTTGACTGAGGGGAACCCCCCGAGAAATCTCCTAACAGGGCCCCATCCATCGGCCGGGAGGGCCAGGGTCGCTGCAGAGAGCAGGGTGTCCTGGGTTGGCCAAAACATGAGGAGGCAACGAAAGTCCGGGCTGGGTGGGTCGTGGTCGGCACTGTGGGTCAGTCAGAGGAGCCTGGGCGGCTGAGCAGCAGCTGCCTTACCTTCGTGGGGCCCCCAGCGCAGGAGCGTGAGTCTTCCAGGGGCTCAGCCCTCGTCCACTCAGCGCAGTGACTCCCGGGACGGCTTGGCACTGGGCTAGACCCGGCATGGCGCTCACAGCAGCATGTAAGTGGAGGCTGCTCGTTGTCCTGTGGGGACAGAAAGTCCAGGCTCGGCAAGTGAGACGCCGTCTCTGCTCAGCCTGAGGGCGCCCACTTCAGGCCTGGGACCAAGGACCAGACACAGAGGACGGGAGGCCCTGCTGCCGAGTGGTGAGGGAGGCTTCCAGGGATGGTGGCAGACAGACAAGAAGGCACTAGCTGAGTAAAATGATAGTAAGCTGGCTGCTGAGTCTCGTCCCTGTAGGTAAGGGGTTGGGGGAGATGCCCCATGACCCAGAGGTGGGGAGGGAACTCGCCCAAGCTACAGCTGTGCTCGGCCAAACCTCCGCACAGGGAAACTGAAGCCTAAGCGGGCTTTTCTCCCGAGAATATGGCAACGTCAAAAGTGAAAGGGCGCCATGCCCCCCTTCCCTCAGGGTCCCCCAGGTGTGGAGGAGTGGATGGGCCCCAAGCCTGCAGACAGGTTCACTGCCCCAGCCCATGGCATGTTCTCTGTTCTGGACAGATCTGGAAGACCGAGGAGCTGAAGATGTCTGTTCCCGGGCAGGCAGCGCCAGAGGGGCCCTGGGCTCCACCTCCAAGCCCCAGAGGTAACTGCTGTGCTAGTGATGCCTGTGGGGTGCCCTTGGCTTGCTCAGCCCTCCCTCCCCTCTCCTCTCCTTGGCCCGAGGGCTGCAGCTCCATCCAGGCCTGCAGAACCCAGGGAAGCCATCAAGTCTCTTGGGATGTTGCCAAGTTTGCAGGTGAGGAGCACGTTTCCTGAGAGCTGCTGGTGGAGTGTGAAGTGGTGTTTCAAAGCCTCCCTGAGTACCAGACTCATGCTGCAGGGATCAGCGAGCTCTGGGATGCTTCTCGGGCGTGTGAACACTGGTGACGGTGGTTGTGGGGCTCCGGAGCCCCAGGAGGGGGACACACCCAGCAGGGCTTGGTTTGATGCTCTCCGTCTTCCTGGGTGACTCTTAAATGCCAAACTCCCCAGCCCAGGACTTGGATCCCGCTGGCTGTTGGCCTGGACTGCCAGGCTGCAGACAGGAGCAGGGACGGCTTTGCTGTGTCCCGGGGAGAGGAAGTGGTTCCATAGGCCCCAGTCTGCCCTGCTGATCCTGACTCAACCCCGCTACTCTCCATGGCAAGTTCCTCAAAGTGGGTCTGAGGGTCATCTGCGTCAGCATCGCCCAGGAGGCTCATGGAACATTGAGATCCGGGACCTGTTCTCAACCCAACCTCAGGGATAAGGTTGGAGGTGGTTAGAGTTCCCATGTCTAACAAGTCCCCAGGTGAGTGGTGGTGTCGCCGAAGTAAGAGGACCACCGTCCTGCAGCAGAGCCCTCTTTGGTTGTGGCAGCTGGGCCTGAAGCAAGAAAATCTGTTCTCCCCTCTGCCATCATGGCCTCTGGCACCAGCACCACCCTGGCCACCGTCGCAGAGCTGTGAGGGAGAGAGCTGACCGTGAGCAGTGTCCACTGTGCACGCTTCCCGTGCATTCTCTTATTTCTCACGGCAACCCCACGAGGAAGATACTACGATGACACCTGTGTGAGAAATAAGGAAACTGAGGCAGGGAGCAGTCCAGCAACTTGCCCAAAGTGACCCAGAAGCGCATTACTACTATCGTTCTCATTTCTGCCGCCAGAGTAGACACGCCCACTGCCAGAATGAGCTCGGCCACTGGCACCAGCCCGTTGCCTCCAGGATGAGCGCAGGCACAAACCTCACCACCAAGGCCGTCACCTCCTCTTCTCACCTCCCTGGGGCCCCGCCATCACCTCCTCCAGTGCAGCCAAGCTTTCTCAGTTCTGTCTTCGTCAAATGTTCTGGCCCAGAACTGAGACATCCTTCTTCGTGCCCACGATTCAAGAAAGCACGTTACCATGATATGAGAACTCTCCTGTCATCATGAGTCCTTCTGCTTTGCTCTGCATTTCAGGACCCATGACCATCCACTAGAGAGAATTTTCCAGGTTGTGGAGGGTTGCCTTCTAAAGGGAGTAGCCATTTTTAGTTAGTTCATTTCTGAAATGTGCTCTGCACGTCCTTGATTCATTTAGTCACTGATTCATGGATTCTTTATTCACATAGTAGGGGCATTTGCTCAGCCCCTACTAGGTCCTAAGATCTACATGGGAATCCCTTCCTTCAAGATAACACCATCTGGAAGCCCTTGTCCACAATCTGGGCCGACCAGAGTGGTGACCCTACAAGAATCTACAACCACTGTGGATTCAGTTCACTGGTCCTAAGATCTCTAGGGTCCTTTGGGACCACAAGGAATCAGCCCATCTTAGTGTAAAAAGAGACGCGTGAGGATCGCGCATTCTAAGGAACTCACAGCACTTCTTTGGAGAACAGGGACCAAACTCTCTCCCCTGCCTCCACCCACTCAGAGAGCAAGTACGAGGTTCTTATCCTCTGCCTGTTCATGAAGAGATTCTGTGGCACACCTGCTTGAGAGCACACCATTTCAGTCTTGGGCTCAGCTGCCCACTTCTGAAGTTTCCAAGCTCCCATAAGCTAAAGGTATTAGCTCAGCCCCTGGTTGATAAATGGATGTCTGAGCAGGAATGCTGGTTGCGTGGGTGGGTGGATGAATGGTGGGACAGACAGACAAAGGGCACCTCAGAGCCGTTCCGTTGGTTCTGGAAGTGCCAATGGATTCACGGGTTTCTACTCAGGATGGACAAGGTTGTGCTCATTGGGAATGGGGTTTCGTGAAATGAGAAGATGAAAATCAGGAAACAAGGCTCTAGACCCAGCTGTGTCTCCAGCGACCTCTTAGGCCCTCAGTTTCACCCTCTGTCTTCATCAGTAGAGGTACTTCCTGTACATCCTAACTTGTAGGAAGCACATGACAGAAAGATAATAGACGTAGTCCAAGATCTACTCAACAAAATGTGGTCCATCATTATCATTTTCTTGGACTACTAAGAGACTTCTCCCCTAACACACCAGCTGATGACGTTAGGGGACTTACAAGATGGTGTCAGGTGGACAGGAGCCCCAGGCCCACATCCTTCCCATGCTGTTTGTCCTGACCTGCCTGAGGTCACAACTGTCAAGTAGAATTAACTGCCAGGGTTGCAGTTACAGTTCAAGGGAGGATTTGGATGAAATGACACAAGGGCACAGACATATTCGTAAAACTCAGGCTGGGCCACCACTTAGAGTTAGCAAATCCATGTGCAGATTTACAAGCCTCAGCCACTGGAGGGCTTGTTGTTCTCATAATGTTGCTTATAACTGTTTTGTTGGAAGGGGACCAGTACTGGGCCTGACACACAGATATTTGCACGTCTCTTGGTGTGTCTATTACTGCATTCCTCAAATACCTTAAGGGGCAAGAAAGGAGTTCTTTGAGGGTATTGAGGATATTAAGGTTACTGCATTTGTGTGCAGATGTAATCTGATTTCTGCCTGGAATTCATTTATTTGTCATTTGCAGCAAGGACCAACCCAGTTGAGTCCAATTTATTTTTGGAATCGCTCCATAGATTTGGGCTCAATCTGGTACATAAAAAATGCTTGGGAAAAGCTTGGCTTTTTGGATTTTTGCACAAACACAAAATGCACAGAGCTGCCTGCCACCCTGGGACAGCTGGGGCAGCTGCACCACTCCTGCCCTGACTCCGACCAAGTGACTTTGCAGAGACAGACCCAGCTGACGTCTCTCCACCTCACCCTCCAAGAAGCAATTACTGTATGTCCCCAAATACAGTCATTAAAATGACTGAAGTAACAATCATTGAGTTATATTTTTTGAAAAAACGTTCTCTGCATTTAATTATTGGTTGTGGCGTGAGAGGATTTAGATAAGTTGATAATGCCGACTTTATGTAATTTATTTTTACTAGGCAATTATGGGCTGCATTACATTCCTGGCAGCAAGGTATTGTGGGGCATCTTATTAAGCATAAAGCCAGTAAACACTGATGAACAATTTTGCTGAACTAGGCATGCAATTTAGAAAGCAATAATACACAAATCCAATTTGGTGCACAATGGATACCGCAGCACGTCAGCACATGTAACTATCACAGCCTGCAAATTAAATTGGGACGGCCCTTTTTGCAACAGCACAGACCAAGATTAAATATATTTTCCCCCTCAATTTAACAAGTTGCTGACCACAAATATAAATATATGTGTATGTGTTTGTGGCCCTGCGTGTAGACGTACACATGCACGTGTGTGAAAACGCTTGGGTTTTCTAACTCCCCTCGCCCACTCCTCACAGGTCACAGGTGGGAGAAGAATCTTGCCCTCTGCAGAGAGCTGGATGTCAGCGTTGCCTTGACAGGGAAGCCCAGCAAGGCCAGCTCTGCAGTGACAGCTCTGGCTGTGTCCAGGTAACGACGGACTGGCTGCTCCCGGCCTCCAGCAGAGGGCGCTGTGCCACCCCTAGGAAAGCCCTGGCTGTTCTGCTCAGGCCTCCCTGGCCCTGGGAGGTGGCCTCACTACAGGGACCCAGGGACCCAGAGGGGCCCAGCATATACAGCATAAGGGCGAGGCGGCCGTGCAGGGCCCTAGGAAATGGTTTTTGACACACACATTCTTGCTCTTTCTCTCTCTCACTCTCTTGAATATCTATGAATTCATAAAGAAATCCAGGAGGTAGGGCTTCCCTGGTGGCGCAGTGGTTGAGAGTCCGCCTGCCGATGCAGGAGACACGGGTTCGTGCCCCGGTTCGGGAAGATCCCACATGCCGTGGAGCGGCTGGGCCCGTGAGCCATGGCCGCTGAGCCTGCGTGTCCGGAGCCTGTGCTCCGCAACGGGAGAGGCCACAACAGTGAGAGGCCCGCATACCACAAAAAAAAAAAAAAAAAAAAAGAAATCCAGGAGATAAAAGTATATTGTTTTGTGATTTTATCCTAAAGAGGGACTTTTTTCCTGAGGTCCACTGCCAGTTGTTAACATTTGGTATAATGATTATCCTACATTACAGAAATTGCCTTTCAAGGGCTCTAAGCCAATGTGGAATAGACAAGTGTCAGATACTACGTTTGGCTACATTATTTTATTCTTCACAATTACCCAGGGGCGGTGCTTACTGTCCTTAGCCCATTCTACTCACTAGGAGCGTAGTCTCGGGGGGCCAGACCTTCAGGAGCCACTGTCCTTCCCTCCCTGCCCTGGAGGGGGCCATTTGGGGTCCGTGGTGGTAGGAATGCTGGGCTGAGGCGGGGTGGCTCAGGCTGGAGTCTGTGGGTAGGGATAGAAGGCCCTGAGCCCTAATTCTTTGCTGGAGAACTTGTCCTTCCTTCTGCCCACCAGCCTGGCTGCAGATCAGCTCGAGGGAGAAGTTCAGGGCCTCGCCCTGCCCCCTGGAGCCCTGCTCTCTGGGAGCGTCCCCTCAGTGCTTTGGGAGCCACAAGCCTCCTAGTTCAAAGCTGTCCCCAGTTCAAAAGACTCTCCGGTGGGTCAGCTCCCCCCGCTTCAGGTGGCCGCCAGGTACAGGCTCCTGGGGTCCTGGACTGAAGCCCCACGTTGTAATGCCATGCGCGCAGGCTGGGATAAGCAGGATGCACCGGCTTTGCTCTAACACGCTTGTCTGTTCTTTCTCTTCCCAAGAAACCAGACCAAACTCCTGGTCGGCGATGAGAAGGGGAGAATATTCTGCTGGTCCGCAGAGGGTTAGGAGGCGAGAGCTGGTGGAGGCGCTGGCATGGCAGCCGTGTGCCCTGAGGGGCAGCAACACCAAGCAGAAGGCGCAGACTCAGTGCCAGGGGCGCCAAGGAAACCCCCAGCCTCCCTTCCGAAAGGTCCCCAAGGATGTGGCTGCTGGCCGCTAGAGCTACACACCCTGAACTTTGGCCTTGGATTGCACAGAGATGCACTTCTACAAAACAGATACACGCGCCCATCGGGGCCCGTGAGCAGAGCACTGGAAAGCGTGGCACGAGGGTGCCAACCGGCGCACGAAATCACACGTGACTCACTTTTCAGAGGGCTTACTGCACTGGAAAAACACTGGGCCACTTACTGGAAACTAATGGGAAAGACTGTATTGTTGTTATTTTACTAAAACAACTACTTTCCAAACACAAGAGGGCTCTTGAGTTTAAAATTTCCACCCTTTCCCACTGAAGTATTTGTAGCTCCACGCTTAGAAAGGCCTCAGGGACGCACAGCCCCCTTTCAGAGTGTTTCTCCGCCCCTCCAGCTCCCCCGGTGGAATCTGGCTCCTCCCGTGGTCTTGCTTGCTGTGCGGGGGACCTTAGCGTCGGGAGCAGGGGCCCACACTCGAGGCCCAGCGGCCGTGGCTGGGCTCAGGCCACGGACGCAATGGCTGCCCACCGCAGGCATAGGCCAGTCAGCTGGGAGGACACACCCTGCCTGGGGTGCCTGCTCCCACTCTGCACCCCACAAGCAGGTGGTGGGTCCCAGCTGGGCTCGGTCTTGGCAGGTTTTTCCAGGGACCTGTCCATACATGGTCAAGGGCCCCAGTCCACATGCTGGTTTTGAGTTGCAGCTCATCTTGCGAGAATCTGGACTGCCATGTGACTTTGGTTCTCCATCTGAAAGTACATGGCAGGTGGCTAGTTAGCCCCTCTGAGGAATTCCAGTACCTTAAGGTTCAGGCATTGGATACTGAAGGCATCACCCTCATTCTCACGTCTTCTCCTCACCCCCAGCCTTCTGGAAGCCTTGAAAGGAAATTCACCTGCCTCTTCAATGAAATCCAGCTAAGGTGGGCATACAGAGATTTGGGGAGGCAACACTCCTTAGCTTTAACTCCCTCCCTGAGATTTTCCTTCTAGAGAATATCAGTCTTTCCCATATTTCTCCACGCCCTGCAGAGGCCCTGTTGGGTGGCCCATCCCAATTTAGCTCAGGCCTGGGGATGGCAGATAAATGGACTCAGTGTCTTATGGCCCAGGTCCTCTGGTCTCCAGGGGGGTAGTGAGTCAATGTAAAGATAAATATTAAGAAAGTAGAGGCGGGGGCTTCCATGGTGGCGCAGTGGTTGAGAATCTGCCCGCTGGTGCAGGGGACACGGGTTCGAGCCCTGGTCTGGGAGGATCCCCCATGCTGCAGAGCAACTGGGCCCGTGAGTCACAACTACTGAGCCTGCGCGTCTGGAGCCTGTGCTCCGCAACAAGAGAGGCCGCGATAGTGAGGGGCCCGCGCAACGTGATGAAGAGTGGACCCCGCTTGCCACAACTAGAGAAACCCCCTGGCACAGAAACGAAGACCCAACACAGCAAAAATAAAATAAAAATTAATAAACTCCTACCCCCCAACATCTTCTTTAAAAAAAAAAAGTAGAGGCGGTATGAACTATGTCAAAAATCGTGAGTGAGTGAGAGATAGTTAGGAAATAGTAATCTATCTGTCAACTTCGAGGTCTTTGCAAAGGGAAAGAAGGAGGAGGAGACTTGTCTCAAGTCCCGAGCACTCCTCCCTGGGTGAGAAGGGCAGGTGTCTGACCCTGGGGCCAAGGATCATGTCACCTCCTGCATTGTCTGCATGTGCTGTTAGCAGACAGCCCATTTGCAATCCCCTAGTCAGTCTGGGGCTGCACCAGAGGACCATAAATTGAAGAGCAGAGTGCACGCCTCCCCCGGAAGGCCAACAAGCTGGGTCATAAATATCACGAGCCTGCTGTCATGTTTCAAGACGCAGCTCACAGCGTTCACCCAGAGCTGAAAGGTCTGCTGGCCAAAAGGCTCTCTTGGGCTCATTCGTTCAACGTTTCCTGAGCACCGGCTTTTGGTTCCCCAAATCACAGGAAAAATGGAGGGGGGGGGATGGAGATGGGTCTTGTTGCTGGGGTCTTGGAGCTAAGATGTTTGTGCAAACAAATGTGACCTGAAGTGGAAGGGAGACCTCTCGTGCCCTAGGGGGAACGTCATTCTGGCTGTAGTCATTAGCTAGGGCTGCTGTAACAAAGTACCACAGGCCAGGGGTTGGGGGGGGGGGGGGGAGGGGGGGGGGAGGAGCAGTTTACACAACAGAAGTTTTCTCACAGTTCCGGAGGCCAGAAGTCTGAGAGGACCGTGTCTGCAGAGTTGGTTTATTCCGAGTCCTCCCTCCGTGGCTCACAGATGGTCGCCTTCTCCCTGTGTCTTCACGTGGTTTTCCCTTTGTACCTGTTTATGTCCAAATTTCCTCTTCTTCAAAGAACATAAGTCATATTGGATTACGGCTTATCTATATGGCCTCATTTTACCTTGATTACCACTTTAAAGATGTTATCTCCACATATGGCTAATTCTGAGGGCCTGGGGATGAGGACTTGGATTTGGGGGAAGACGCAGTTCAGCCCACGACACTGGCTGGAGGAAGTGGCCCTGGAGCAAGACTTGGAAGGGCAGGTGGGTCTTGGCCTTGTGGAGGTGGAGAGCAGTGTTTCATAGGGACAGGGGACAGCGTGGGCGAAGGGACAGGGTGCGTCGGGCTGGCGGCAGAAAGAACGAGCAGGTGAAGATAGAAGGCAAGGTGGAGGCTGGAGGGAGGGGCGGCCGCCGCTCCGGGGCTGTGAGGCTGCAGGCAGGGGCTGGGGCAGGGCGAGCGGGAGTGAGGAGGCAGAGACGGACGCCCCCACCCCCACCCTCACCCCCACCCCGAGAGCTGCATCCCAGTGCCCAGCTCACGGGGGCGCTCCTCAAGCGCTGCTTCCGTCCGCGCATGTGCGGATGAGTGACTGAGCCGTGGTGGCGGGCGTTTCAGAGTTGGTGGTTCTGGGAGTGAAAAAAACAGCTCTGAGTGACGGCAGGTCCAGGCAGTGGCCCCTTCACGGGCGGGGTGAAGCAACAGGGAGCGAGGACCCTGGATGTGGCTGGGGACGGTGCCAGCATCCTGGGGTGAAAAGGTCGATGCCCTCCACAGAGCTGGCAGCCGTGGAGCATCCATGGGAGCAGGAGAGGCTGCGGGCAGAACGAACCCCGAGGAGGCGGCAAAGAAGGAGCCAGGGAGGCAGGGTCACCGTCAGGGCGCTGTGTCAGGGTAGGTTCGGGGGACTACCTGGTGGCAGCTCCTTCCTAGTGGCACTGAACTGAGAGCCTACGTTCCACCAAGATCAGCTCCCTGTTACCTAGAGGAGGGAAACTGGGCGCGCAGATCCAGAGGGGAGCAGGGACACCCCGACCCTCGCTGCACACCTGGCCCCCCGTGGGCTCCAGCGGGGTCAGAAGCAGAGTCTGCTGGGGTAACAAACAGAGTGGGCCCGGGATGGGGGCCAGGGAGAGAAGCCCCAGGCACAGCGGGGGTCCAGGGTCCGAAGGTCCTCGGCAACCTGGGTGACAGGAGACTCCTGTTGGCCTCAGTATTCCAGAAGCCAGCCAGCCTGGGGTCCCTGACGGTTGTCAGTGATGGAGGGAAGTCCAGGACAGAGGCCCGAGGAGTGGGGAGGGAGAGCGGGCCGGGCACCAGGGCCCCCAACAGAGGGGCAGGCAGGGCAGAGGCCAGGCACACTGGCCAACCGGGCTGAAGTGAGAGGGCCACGCAGATGCAGGCCTGCCAGCACCCCAAATCCAGCAGGGACAAGGGGCCCCCAGTGCAGGAGCTGTGCCAAGCTGTGCAGCGACCGCTCCGTATCTGGAGACCAGAATCTGAGGACGGGCACACACAGTGGAGGTCACAGATAAGAGCTGTGCTCGGGTGCCAGGCAGCCTGAGACCCGTTCCCAGTGTCCCCACTTCCTGCCAACTTCAGCCTCAGTTTCTGTATCTGGAAAATCAGATTCCAGTGTCTACACGATGGCTTGTCGTGAGATTGAAATCCTACCTGTTTATTTGATGGAGGGATGAAGCAAACGACAGGCCGCCAGTCCCCGACATGATGTAATCTTTCAACACATCACTTGTTCATTCACTTACCAGTATCTTTTCTTGCTGAGCCAGGCCTTGTGCCAGGGCCCTGGGGACAGAGAGCCATTCTGCCCTTCCCCAAGGAGTCCCCTGCCCAGGCTGGGCAGAGGACAGAGAAAACATGACAGGAAGCACGTTCGCTCTCACTCCCAGAGGTTTATCAGGCTGAAGCCAGGTGCTCACACAGGAATGGCATTTCTTCTGGAACATCCTGGAAGGCAAGTCCGACTCTCAGGCTCTGGGGCTCAGTTAGAGCAGAAGCCACAGTTTTCGTGTTAAAAAAATAATCGCTTGGATGACGCTGATGCGGGCTGCAGAGTCCCCACTTGGAGGAGATATTCTGGAGTAGACAGAGACAGGACAGGGTGAGGATGGAGGCGTTTGCCCTCTGCTACCCACCCACCAAGAACAGGTGGCTTGTGAGGGGCCTCTGGGGTCAGGGACTCCCGTATTCTACTCACATTCACCACCTCAGCCTGAGACAGCAGCCGTGCCCAGCTCTCACCCAGCTGAGCCTTCTTAATAACTTCTTAATAACTGTGACAACTTCCTAATAACTCCCGTGACAACTTCTTAATAACTGTGAGACCAGCCCCCAGCCCACCTCCACAAGCAATGCTGTAGCCACTGCTCCCGCCCTGGGAAAGTCTCAACTCTGTCACCATTCCCAATAAAAGCTGCTCTCTGAGCCATTCATCATGGCAACACTCCACATCCTCTGAGAGGCAGGGAAGAGGACCCAGTGCAACCGACATCCCTCTAATTGCAGAGAGGAAAGCAGGGCTTTCCAGTGGGGCTGTGAAAGCACCAGATCAGGATGTGCACCCGAGTCCACCCTCAGGGAGATGGTTCTACATACTGTGGCCCCTAGGAAGGCTCAGGACGTGCCCACCTCACCATCTCGACAGGCCTGGGCTCACCTCGACATAGTTGCAAGAAAAAAGTATTCGTTGTTTATTGGAAGTTCACATGTAACTGGGAGTCTTGTATTTGTATTTGTTAAGTCTGGTCACCCTGCTCCCTGGACCCCTTAGAGGCCAGGAAGGATGGTGCCCTGCCCAAGGGCCCAACACAACCTGCTGGTACTCGGTGTGTGACGGGTGAATCCCTTCTCCTGAGCAGACTGAAATTCAACAGTGGAAGCAGGTGGAGGGCTCACATGGAGCTCACTCTTCGTGCCACCAATCAAGTTTCCAGGGCCTCTGGGTCCCTCTGGCCCTCACTTCTGGGGGATAGAGCCTCCTGCCCCATGCTGGCCCTCTGCTCTCATTCCTTTGTGCCCTGGCCTCCAAGGAGAGCAGCCCAGGGCTCTGGAAGCCACTTGTGACAGCAACTGCCTCCCCCAAGCCCAGCCAGCAGCCAGAAGCCAAGTCATGAGAACCCAGTCCTGGGACCTACAGAGGACTTGGAGATTGGATTTGACCACGTTAACATGCAGCCCAGAAGGGCACATTTGGGCAGGAAAAGACTCTTCATATGAAAA